AAAACCCTCCGTTGACGTCAACCTACGAAAAACCCAAACAAGTCTGCAGCCTACATCAACCTGAAAACGTGCAAAGCAGGCGACCCAACGTTGATGTAGACTCCCGGCCTGTTCAGCAGCCGTCAACCCCGAGCTCCACCCGCCGCACCCGCAAGATCTCAGTCCATACCCCCCGCCCCATACGTAGCGATCGAAGCGTAGCTACCCGTCAGAAACATCGCCGTCTCCGTAGGCGTCCCCAGACTCGGCATCTCAACAGATATTTCTCGCGCGTCGACCCACACATCACTCGTGGCGACAACGTTGGTCACCACATTGCCAGTCCCACTTGCAGCCGCACTTCCACCTCCGGCTCCAGTGGGTGTAGCAGCCAAAGGACTCAACGGATTGGCTGTCTGGCTCATGCGGCCCTTGATCGTGGTGGTTCTCGTGGCGACAGGTCCTGGGAAACAATGGATGCCGTGTTGGCCGTTCTTGCCGTTTCCGCCGCACACACATGATTGTCGTTTGTCGTGCATCTTGAGCCATGCTTTGAAGGCTTTCATGGCTTCGTTGTCGGGCTTCTTCTTGTCTTGGCTGTCGGGGGAGGTGCCGTTGTTTGGAACGCCGTTGTCGCCGGGAGTTGTGCCGTCGTTTTGGGTCTTGTCGTTACCTGGGGTTGTGCCGTTGCCTTTGGGGTCCTCCTGGATGAAGTCCTCGTACTCGTCGTCGTCTGGACCGACCTCTTCTCGATCCCATTCCGCGTCCTCCTGAGCCTTGGCTTCTTCATCATCTTCATCATCATCGATGAAATCGCATATGTCATGGGCAGATTGCTCAATGCACTTGTTGTCGCCGGGATCACAGCCGTGCTCGCCGTTTCGGACAGAGGAGTCGATGGTGTAGTTGAAGTGTGACTCCTGGATCTCGTAGACGACATCCACGATGCAGTACGGCCCGTTGCATGCGCCTTGCGACGTTATGTTCTTGGGCGTATTCTTCGGATAGCGTGTCTCCTCGTGAAGCAGTTGGGTGGTAACTTGCATGATGGGCTCTCGAGTGGGTGTCGGCGCTTGCGTTGGTTCGCAACCTGGCGGTACAGATGATGAGCTGGTCGAGTTCGATTTAGGCTGAGTAAGCTGTTTCGGTCCCAGCGGATGCGATTTGTGATGGTTAGGGTCGCAGCCGCCAAACCAGGCCTTCTTCATATGCTTCGGTGGTTTCTCCTCGTCGTCAACTTCTAGCAATGCCTTCCAGCTAGTGTCCATCCTTTCGCAGTCGTGGCACTTCTTGCCGAAGTTGTCAAAGTTGTACAAGCCGCTGTCTTTGATGAAGTGCTTGGTCGCTGCCATTGTCCAGTTGGTGGGTGCAGCCCACGACGCTGCGTATGTGGGGTTCATGGGGTCGCATTGGCAAGGCGCGTTCTGATTGTCCGTGCTGCCGGTGCTAGAGACGGCTTCGCCGAGCCAGCTGTAACATACTGCAATGTCGAAGCCGTCGGGGGCGTTTCCGTAGTCATCCAGATAGTCTACCTCGCCTGGAAAGTGAGTAGAGTTTGAGCCTGACGAACTCGTCATATTCGTGTCCGGTGGTCCCTGGCCATCCAGATTCACCGGTTCCGGCGCAGTCACATTCTGCATCTGATCGTTGTTGACTGATGGGCAAGATGCTGAACCTGTGGAGTTCATGTCATGTTCCTCCTTCTTACGGTTCGGCCAGTAGACCTCGTCTTTGAAAAGAGCAGATCGGACCACGTCGCTAGCGAAGAGGCCGTGGAAGCCTTCTTCACTGTTGAGATACTCCCATCCGGGTGGACTGCGCATCTTTTTGTCCTTGTAGTTCGTCATTGCGTACACCCAGTACGACCTGTCGGGGCGTTCTTCGAGGCAGATCTTGCTTTCGGCTGGTCCACGGTCGTCTTGGTCGCAGTCACCGCCGGGTTTAGCCCAGCTCGCGACGACATATACGCCTTCGGTTTTCCACAAAGCGCTTATGATGGTTGCGTAAGACTTCATTCCGATCACGAAGTCGACATAGGATCGGTAGTGGACGTTGGCGCCGTAGAAGAAATCCTTGGCGAAGAGTTCGACGATATCGTGGCCATTGCGACTTCTGTAGCCCGACGCGAGGATTGCCATTCCATCTCGGGCTTCTTCGACTGCGTTGCTGTCGATATCGGCGAGTGCTGCGCGTACGGCTTCCAGGGTTTTGTCACACCCTTTCCTTCTTGATGTTAGCACTTGCGTTGTCAAAGGTACAGCACGCGCAACTTACAAATCCTTCTTGTGGTCAATCTTTTTGACTACCTCTTTGGTCAAAGCTTGCGAACCTAGCCAGCCCCCACTGGTGATGGTCCACAACTCTGCTTAGTGTTAGTTCAATCTTTTGCGTTCGAAGCTCTAGCTTACTCTGAGCGTTCTCGATCGTTTTGGGCATGAGCAGACCATATGCCTCCCCAGGTGTACCATCGTCGTTCGGTTTCGGCGTCCTCCGACTTGCCCAATGTTTGAACCCCGACACTTTCGCGAATCCTTTTGGCAGCTTTTTGGCCGTCGATTCCAAAGTTCGCTGCCACCTCGAAGCCATTCTGTTGAACAAAGAGACTTTCTTTACCCAATTGGTGATTACGTCGGGTCTGTAGTTCGCCATATTGGCGGCTGTGGTGAATAGTTGAAAGACTGCCGTGATGATTCCGAACGCCAACTCCATAGCAGCTAGTGCCTTCTTCTTCTTCTCATCCTTCTTGACCGCGGCGTCTTGTTGTTCGTCTGCATATGTGAACCACCTCGTAAGGGCATCGATGTCTTCGAGAATGTGCCTGTAATGATCCTGGAGAGCTTCGCTGGTGATGTGAAAGGAATGGTCAAGACCAGAGACGAACTCGAAGAACAACATGACTGCTCGTTGTTCAACGGGAGTGTGCCTCGTGCTAATGTCCTTGCAGCTTGGAGACTGTTGATGACGTTAGAGTGAGCTAGAATGCAAGCTGGATGTGAACTACTTACTCTACACATGCCCATACCATCACAGAGCATGTTGCTTGGTGGTAGATTGGGAGCGTATCGCTTCGCCAAAAAGGCAGGGAAAGTGATCTCATCGCCCTCAAGTTTCCTTGCCCTTTGCATACGCTGATACTCCTTGAGACGTTTTCTCAAGAAGAATGCGTCCTCGTGCCGATGTTGTTGCCATAGGTGTTCGGTGATCCTGGGAAAGTTTGGGCAGTCGTTGCTCCAGTCGTAGGTACCCGGAACATCCGTGGTTTTACAATAGGGACTTCTGGCACATTCGTTGTCGAAATAATCTCCCTTCAATCCGATATCCTGTGTAGTTATGTTCGAAACGGGTTCCTTCCTTGTCTCATTCGAATAAGCAACGCTTGCGGATGCATTGACAACATCGAAGACGTGTAAGACGGCATGTGTCCATGCGAAGAGCCGCATGATGACAGCCTAGTGGGTGGATAGCAAGTCCAGAAAGAACGCGATCTGATAATAGAGCACAAATTGATCAGTGTAGAAAAGAATACAGTGAGTGTCTTCGGTTTCGCTCTTGTAAAGGATTAAGATTGGATGCTAACTTCCACCACCAAAAAGGCGCGCCAGCGTCCCACATGGCAACACTACGAATGAAGGGTATTCTTGATCTTGCGTAACAAGATACTACCACGATCTATCGCCATTGGGTGATCGTGTCCCCTTCTCAGACACGAATTCTTTCTGGGAAGTCTCGATGGCTGGAGTGAGCAAAATCATGACCGCTGAACATGAGGACGAAATCTACCCCGCAGGCATGTTGGTAACACTGATTACTGCAAGGCATGCAACAAATACGGGGTGCACAATCAACGAGGTAGCTAGATTGCCGCAATATGACAAGTACTTGCGCAATCTAGAACCACCGGTCTGTATCATTGCGCCCACTTTCTCGCCCTGCAGCCTGTTTGTCAAATTCCGAACCAATCGCTCACCCACGTCCTTCGTTCTGTGGTATCTATGATGGAGAGTCAAAGGGACAACTCTGATCCTCGGACATTGGGGACCCAAAGAGCTCAGACCCTTTTACACGGTCAAACTATCGTGGGTTTATTCCAACCTTTTTTTTAGCAACCCTTGAATGCGCGACCCACCACGACCGCAATAGTGAGAAGTACAGTAACTCAAGATGGCACTGTGATCTTACGATTGATGTGACTTCAAAAGGATATGAAATCAATCTTTTAGTCAATGTGCGAGTTCGCCGGCTGAACGTCTCGGTACTGTAACTGTCATAGCTGCTTCAAGCTGTCATGCCCCTGCTTTTGCGTTGACGTACTGCACCTTACTCTATCCAGGTCAACCTGTCATCCAAACGAAAACTGGGAGAATGATTCAATAAATGACAGGGGCGCAGATTTTCATCGACATCGGATAACAGACAAGGCCTCCTATCCGTGGATGATTACCATTACAATATCCAGGGTCAGACGTCTTTGGCCCCGGACCAAAAGAATTCAATCCCGTGCTTGACCTGAATGGCTGACGCACACGCCAGAAGGGTTATCAGTACTGCGATTCACCGGTTCAAACCGAGGTTTTCTTACGACTATGAGCAGTACATATCCGCTCTGCCCACGCACTCCGAGGGCTCGGGATCGGACTCTTGGGTATGGACAACAGCACGTATATAAACCGAGTCCAGTTGGACGATGAGTGATTATCGCAACTCACACTCCTGATTCGATCTTCTACCTACTCAACAATCTCAACACTCTCCACCATCTCCACTACCTCAACCCTTTCGACGGTCTCCACCGTCTTCATCGAAGTCTCAACAACACTACTTGCTTGTGACTTGCAATGATTCACTCTCGCTACCTTGCGGTGGCCTTCGGTAGCCTTGTTGCTACCGCTGCGCTGATCCCCACGAAGGCGTTCCAGGTATGTCTTACACGCTCACTATGTATTCGGGCCAATCTAATTGGAATTCTCCAGGAGCCCGCTATTGCAGATGTCTCCCCAGTCAAGACGGTCCGACGCTCCTCCATGGATGATGAAGAAACAGCCCTCGAAATCTTGGCCGGGAACACCTTCATGGTGACTGCTGTAGTGCCGCTCAAGGCCCAGGAACGGTTCAGCGAGTACCCCCTCCTCCAGAAGCTGTCAGAGTGCATCGCGACTAAGGGCAGTGACCCTACCCCTATCAACGGCCAATCCATGATTGGAGATACGCCACTTGAGGAGGTCAGGTTTTCACAGTGCAACATCGCTCTTTCTGACTGCGCCAAGACCGCTATGGTTGAGGCCGACGCAAGGTTGCTAGGATGGCCTGCTCCCGACAAAAACGAGAGACCTGTTCTCAGAACCCACTCGCTCAACCTCTGCACTGGTGTATGCCGTCGCTTGAACGCCTTGGACAACCGTGTAGTTTTCGAAAATGTTGGGATGACCAGAGAGCAACTGCGTACGCTCGGAACGGTTGCATACTGCAACGTCCCCCTCATCGAATGTCTTGAAGATTGTGTGGCGAAATATGACGCGATTATAACAGCGTGGGACATTAAAAACCCAGAGCTGTGAGCTCAGCTATGTGGCTGGCGTCGTTGGCGATATCTCGGCCTGGGAAGCTTTCTTGAGGTGAAAGAGGGCGGCTTTGAGATGGTTTGGTTGTACTTCTGCTCTTTCTCTATCTGATTTTACTTGTATTCATCACGTAGTTCTTGTTATCCGTAGTCAATATACCCCACGCTCATTAAAAACCAGCTTTGCCTTGCATACTTGATCCCTGTCGCGTACCTTGTGGTTACACCTCATTCGAGGAAAGCCTGAGCACCCTGGAGCCTACTTTAACGCTAGGTCGCTAGCTTTGTCTGTTTTCATGTTGATGTATGCTGCACGAGGGCGGATCTTCTACCTTAGCCTCAAAGCTACGTTGACATCAAGTACAATCGTCGACCCAAAAACACTGGTCCAGCTTTTTGATCTCATACGGATACGCCAAATACACTGCACAGATCGAAGTACCCGCCTTAACAAGGATTAATTACCATTACTTCATGTTGGAACCACCGTTATCGACTTACCAACCCACCAACGTACACACCCAAAGTCCCTCGCGAAACGACTTCACATTCGAGCGCGAGCCCACAAGATCACTTCATGTTGGCCAAAGACCATCTCAAGGAGGAACAAGAGTACCAGTATCGGCACATCAACACAGGCGAATGTGGAAGTAATGTTGACGTAGTTCGCAATGTCTTCTTTCCTGTCGCATGTTGGGTCGATCTCTAGGCTCTGGTATCTGATCCGCCGTCTCCACCACAGGTTCTAAGTCATGACCCGCGGCCCGCTGATTGTGACGTACCTGTTGCACCCCAATGAGCAACGGTTGAACTCCACCCCTCTTTCGACCGCCAGCATCAAGCCGCGACATGAAGGCTTGTGGTCGTTTTGCGACATAGCTTGGCGTCCCGACCACATCAGCGTATGAACAATCCGAACAGGCCTGGAGCCTACACCGACATTGTATCACCTACTTCGCATGTTTCCATACTGATGTAGGCCCCAGACCTGTTCAGGGTCATGCTTGTATGGCATGCGACTTTGCTTTTGCAGATCCGTCCTGCCATTCTTGGTTCAGGGGCGCCGTTTGCTTTTGCGGTCGCCTCCACTCTTCCCCTGTTGAACAACAATGCACCCCGCAATTTGACAAAAGACCAGCGAAGCTAGAAGTCTTTGAAACCGTACCTGCATTCCAAGATGGCTATGCGTGCTATCCGCCGCGGGAAGGGCTTGCTTGCCTCGAGTGGGCCCCCTGAGAGGATCATGGCGATCACCCGCATTGAGGTGTCGCATCCAGAACGCCTTCGTCCTGAATGTAGGGGCTGCTGCTGTTGTGCAGGGCTGACTAGGCGATGTGAGGGTCGCGCGGGGTCGAAATGTGATGAGCGGTCATGACGATGTGTTGAGCTGCGATGTCGGGCCGGCGGCTGACATTGGGATGCTATCAAATTCTCATGACTATAGAATGATGCAGATGCGAATCGCGACATCTTTGTACTTTCAGTCGAGGGCCTCTTGCAACGAATGCATAACTGGGTTTGTTGTGACGGGACAAGCAAGTGGCGAGGCGAAGACATGCCATTCACATGATGCGTAATTCTGAGCACGTCAGCAATCCTGTCACGCTAGAGCCAAGGCCCACTTGCTTTTCCGTTCTCTTCTCGTCGCCAACATCCTCCACCAGCTTTTCTGAGTGCCTGAGACGTCACTCCGCGTCATGCTCCATCATCTGCATCATCTTCACTTTGGAAAGAAATCCTCACAGCCCTCTGACATGTTGTCTGATGTGTCTCGGCAGAACTCAATGACCTCGCAGCGCCGCTCGGCTCCCCAGCGTAATCACCGACCTCATTGTCGCTTATGTCGCTGACTTTGCATAACCTTGCACACAACACGAGAGTCGCTGCAGTGCGCGCATGCAGCATAACGAAGCTACCCACCTCTGACAGCTCAGGGTCTACCCGGTACATATTAATAGACGCCATCGGACGCGCACGAAAAGCTCTGTGGCGTAAAGCCAAGTTGTGGAACATCGGTGGTTTTGAAGCTGGCGCGCCGATGCTTTTGATGGCTGTGGGTGGTGTGGGAGAAGCATGTCGCATTCGCCAGAGGTAATCGCCGTCTGACTGCACCGTTGCGCCTCATGGTCGTGCTACGGATGCGACTGCGGAATATTTCTTGGTCTGTTAGATGTGCTACTGAGATGTGCTTCTTGTTTGGACTGTTCATGCAACGTTCATGCAAAGAATCGACGTTGTCTATGACTATATTACTCTTCACCCCTATAGCTCATGTCCGTATATCTCTGCATATTGTTACCATCTCGTTTCTTTGGACCTCTCGTACGTTCGGCTGCAAGCAACAGATCGGGCTTCAGCGCACGCACCCAATATATCCGGACTGATACCTAAGGCTTACTCTCGAGACTGGGAACATCATGGCGGCGCCTCCTCCGTCCATATCGAAGTACCGAGGGGCACGCCCCGCCGCGCTCTCCATCATAGGATCTATATCATCATCAACACGCCCATCTACACAAGCTACACATGCTACACAATCCACACACGAGCTCAATTGGCACGCTCGCACGAACTCGGAAGAGCGCGGCTTGATCGCGGATATCATCCAAGATCTGGCTGACAATTGCCAGACTGCGTTCGATCGAGCAACCGAGCAAGCAGGGCTAGGCACAGCCTCATATATCTCTTATAACCCACAAGGACAAGACCTCGCCAAAGATCTCGCTCAGTCACAACCATACTCGCAAAGGCGGGATTGCGCTACCTCCTACACAACTAACAACCTACGAGAAGATCTACAAGAAATCCGACCTTACCTGCGGGCAAGCACTCTAATGGCACTAGAAGGGATATTGCGGCTGAATGAAGCCAACGAGGCTAATGCAGCCGATCCAGCTTTCCGCCGCAACACAATAAGACGAGTCTCAACGTCCGAGGACGGCGATCATGTACCAGTCATAATGGACCCATACGACGACACAAATTACTCCAGTCCCACAAGCTTCAAGTTCGACGACGAAAGCATCATGGACGGACCTCTCAGCCCTGCAATGGGCAAATACCCAGACCGAAACTACCGCAGGAGTAATCTCAGGGATGCGCATTCGATGAGCGACGAACCTTTTGATGAGCCACCAACCGTTTACGACATCGAACGACAAAGAGGAGCGCCAAAGGCACCATCTCCATACCCATCCACTGCGAAGACAGCGATCATAATGCTCTCGTTGTACATCTCGATCTTCCTTGTCGCTCTTGACCGAACTATCATCGGCCCAGCGATACCCGCCATCACAAACGAGTTTAGTAGCATTGGCGACATCGGATGGTACGGTAGCGCGTACATGCTGACAGCAGCCGGGTTCATCTTGCTGTACGGTCGCATATACACCTTCTTTCCTACCAAGCCAGTCTTCCTATCCGGCATCTTCTTATTCGAACTCGGGAGTATTATCTGTGGCGCTGCGCGGAACAGCAATATGCTTATCGTCGGACGTGCCGTTGCGGGCCTGGGGAGTAGCGGTATCTTCACCGGCGCGATCCTGATCATGTTCAACACTGTACCGCTGGCCAAGCGACCCATGCTGCAGGGTCTCTTCGGCGCATGCTTTGGCGTCGCAAGTGTGGCCGGTCCCTTGCTAGGCGGTGCGTTCACTAGCAGCAGCGCAACATGGAGGTCAGTAATATCGTTAACAAATCGCATATGAAACTCATATTAACGTCATCCAGATGGTGCTTCTACATCAACCTCCCGCTCGGTGGCTTCACTCTCCTTGTAGTGTGCTTGCTGCTGAAGCTGGATGAGAAGAAGCCGCAACTCAAGACGTGGGGAGAGACGATACGACAACTTGATCCCTTGGGCACCGCATTGTTTCTTCCATCGATCACTTGTCTCTTGCTAGCGCTGGAGTGGGGCGCAGCCGACTACCCGTGGACCTCACCGCGGATGGTCATACTACTTGTCGCCTTCGCAATGCTGCTGATAGCATTCGTGCTGTGGCAATACGTCACCAGGCACACCACTGCGACTCTACCAGCACGCATTATCTTCCAGCGCAGCGTTACGTTCGGTAGTGCATCCCAGTTCTGCGTAGGCGCGACCATGCTCACGGTCTCCATCTACGTTCCTCTCTGGTTCCAGGCCATCAAAGGTGCATCTGCGATGCAATCCGGCATCAACACCATTCCGCTCGTACTTTCGGTTGTTTTCGGCTCGATCGTGTCTGGAGCTCTGGTACAGCGCATCGGATATTACACTCCTTTCATGATCCTTGGCTCAGGCTTGATGGCCATCGGAGCTGGTCTCATCACCACTTGGGAGATGACCACCGATAACGCCATGTGGATTGGAACGCAGATCGTTGTGGGCTTTGGCGTTGGCTGCACCATGCAACATCCCAACATCGCCGTGCAAACCATACTGCCCAAGGAGGATGTTCCGACCGGCACGGCAGTGCTTTCGCTGTTCCAAACACTCGGTGGCGCAGTCTTCACAGCCGTCGGCCAGAATCTGTACATACACAAGTTCTCGTCTGGTCTGGAGCAAATCGGAGGCCTGGACCCTCAAAAGATCCTAGACGCGGGAGCCACGAACCTAACGGCTGGTGTAACTCCAGCCATCAAGGCCCTGATACTGGCAGCCTACAACGACTCGTTGACACATGGAACGTTCTTTGCGGCACTCGTCATAGCCTGCCTTGCGATACCAGCTGCTGTAGGCATGGAGTGGCGAAGCGTCAAAGCAAAGCCAGACACGTCCGTACAGGGACACGATGAGAAGCGGGATCAGAAGCCACAGCAGCCCCGTGGTATCCTGAAAGCTCCAGCCAATGGTGCGGGTCGGCAAGAAGGGAACCAGCCGGCGGTGGCGGAGCCCGCGCCAGCTTTGAAGAAGATGTTCAGGCAGAGTGGTCAATTTGCGTCGTATTTGACAGCCACCATTAACCCCGACCTCCGTGATCAACTGGGCCCGGGGAAGCAAGTTCGCAGGTGACGAAGCTGGTTCTTCTTTCCCGGAATTAGATCTATGGATGAATGCGATGTCCTTTAGCGTGTAATGATGATAGGGCGGATACCATATCGCATCGTATCTCTGCCATTAATGCATAATGTATTAGCCATTTGTTCTCCCTCCCCGTCGTTGTTTGCTTGAAGTTTGTCATCTTTGGCGCTGTTTCCAAGCGTCTCACGTGTTGTGAGGGGCGAAAATGCGCAAGCTTACAAGACGTTCCTTGATTTTCGCAAGGTAGCAGACTTCGGGGCCTTTCCGATTCGCAGCTCACCAAACAGGTAATGCGTAAGCGAAGCCACCAAGCCATGGGGCTGATCATCCCACGTCCAGGACGAGCAATCAAGCAAAGCCGAGCTCTAGCGAAGCTTTATCAACCATATGGATGTTTGAGCCCCACTTTTGCGATATCATTTCTGCTTGATTGAGATGATAGACGGTTGGGGTCGGTGTTGCTATCAGGCTCCAACGTGTATTTGCTCCGCCCACACAGGCGCGATTATCGCCTTGAAGCCGCCCTTCTCGCGGTGAAACCACACTTCGGTGGTTTTGGGGGTCGGATAGGTGCGTCATCCGGGCCAGCTCCGAGATTGCGTGTACACGATTGGTTGTTCGTAAACCTAAAGCTTGCTGACAACCACCACCAGGTCGTACTCAGGCAGGCAGTCTGCTGTGCAATCTGTAGGAACCAACAACATGACTAGCGACGCGCATCATATGCCAATGGCGTTGCCAGACGTCTCAACTCGCCGCGCACGGTTCGTCAGCCCACGTATTCCACTCGCAGCTGGCGCGAACGTGGCCGTACTACACGTCAGATGCTCGAACACAATTAGTGATCCGATTTCACAAAGGGCCGAATGTAATGTCGATACCGGATCGCACTTCCCACGGTTCCCCACAGCTGTCGGGCGTCGTATCATGGTCATCCGCGTAGCTGGGTCGGTCTTAAGTAATGCTCAGCGCTGGGCTGGCCATCGTATAGCAGTTACGAGCTTCCGCACAAATGGTGAGCTGACGCTGATAAGCTCTGGCATGCTGAGATTGAGCCGCAGCTGTACAATGCGGCTCATGTCGGACCTGTTGTTTCGGAGATCATAGAGGAGAGACGAATATGATCGACGCCGCATTTAGAGAATGGTGCATATATGCATGGCGACGTCCATGGTGTTTTGTATAAGAGCCAACACACCCGGACAGCTTGAAACCCAGTCAGTACTGGAAGGCTAATCGTCGTTACTGTTCAACCTTCTCTTCTGCGATAAGAGGTGCAACATCTGGCACTATGGCTTCCCAAAACGTTCACATCGTGCTCAGCGTAGCATGGCAAGACGCTGGAGACACGACACGTGCTATCGCGATGGCTATCGCGTTGCGGGATATGTGCCCGTCCAATATCAATCTGCGAATCGACTTCCTGTCCTGTGGCGCGCGGTTCGAATATCAAATCACGGACGCTGGCTTCAATATCGTCCCAGCTCAACCACGTGTGAAGGGCATCTCCGTGGCGCATGACCTCGGATGGGACTGGCCCGAGTTCTTCGGTTCAGAAGAAATAGCCAAATCATTCATCGATGGCCAACTTGCAGCGTTCAAAGAGTTGAAGCCCGATATTGTGTTCCATGGCATGTGGGCTCCGGCCTCTATTGCTGCACGACTCCTGGGTATTCGAACGATCAACTTCCTCCCAGTGCCTTTGCATCCTGGAGCCTTTGCTCATGGCCTGATTCGCGATCTTCCAAATATGATGCCATTGTTCACACGGCTTCCACGACCGGTCCGACAGCGCATGGCGTGGTGGGCCAGCGGCCTGATGGTGAACGCTCCTATCTTCCGACAGAAGCGCCTAGGAGCTGCTGCAGCAGCCTGTGGATGGCCAGTCACTGGACCCATCTCACTCTTCGACATGAACATGGCCGATCTCAACTTGGTCAACGACCACCCCATATTCCATCAAGAATATCTGCACCGCCTCCCAAAGAACATCGTCCTCACAGGTCCTTTGTACGCCCGAAACGACTCGAAGCTGGACGAAGACATATCGGCACATCTGACAAAGGGTCCTGGTCCATCGATCCTAGTTACAATGGGCAGCTCGGGGACGGAAGAGTTCTTGTTCGAAGCGATCAAGGCTCTACGATTGAACCCTGACGACAACTGGAACGCAGTCGTGCTGGCTTCGAAATCCATCTGCGACATCGACAAGGCAATTGAGATCGCTGGCGGAGATGCGCGGCTTCTGGTGACTGATCGGTTCATCCCAGCACCGGCTGCCAATGCGCTCGCCGACCTCATCGTCACGCATGGAGGTCAAGGGACTGTCCAATGCGCCTTGGCTGCAGGAAAGCCTATTGTCGGTGTCGCGCTACAAGTCGAGCAGCAGACGAATCTGGACAATGCCATGAATGCTGGAGCAGGTATCCGCGTGCAGAAACAGTTCTGGAAGGCCAAGAACATTCGCAGCACGGTGTTGACGGTGCTCAAGGATCCTTCTTATGCAGCGAGCGCGCGGATGCTAGCGGAGACGTTGAATTCCATGGACGGCGCAAAGACGGCAGCAGAGGTGATGTGGAAGTTTATCGTCCAGGAACAGACGGAGAAGGTCAAAGTTTAGGTTTGACAAGCAAGCGTGTCATGGTGTCATGATGCTGGCGCGCTAGGTTCGACGGCTGAGAACGCGACGCGTTTTGGTTGGCCAGATCGTTGTTGCTGACGCCGGGCTCTCCGCGTAGAGACATGTTCCCTATCCTGGTGTACTTTAGAGGTCCAAAATTCCCCTTCATAGTAATGCAACCCGTAAGAGTGCAACGGTGACGATCAAGAACGCGTTGTGTCACGCGTGGAGGAGAGGAGACACGTGAGAAGCGTGCCGACGCGCGCCGTGCGCTAGTGGCTTGGCACGCTCATAGCACTTTCCAAATATGCGGCCGCCCCTGGATGCTCTTCCCATCCTCTTTTCCAGCACCATCTCGCGCGCCCATACTATCGAGGCCTCATGCGTATCCCCTCTCTTCATGTGCGACCATGCATATTTTTGCGAATGCTCTAACATTCGAGTTACGACCCATACCTAAAGGACCACGACTATTTTCCGCGCAAGAGTGTAACAAGGCCTCGCGTGTTTCACAGAAACCTCCGCTGTTCGCTGGAGTCTCACTATGCACACAAATTGGTAGTTATCGCATTCGCATAGGACTCGGCCAACACTAGTGTTGTATTGGACAGCTTTGAGCATTCCTGTCACAGTGAAAGGTTTCTTTGGTGGTATCTCGGGATTATCGATGTGGTTTCCTGCTAACAAAGAACGCCAGCAAAGGCTCCATCAGCCAGCCACTCCCCCGGTTTTCACCATCGTTCAGAGAACTCTTTGATGGTCGTCACATGCCCCTGCAGCCGTCCGTAACGTTCCCCAGAACATGTCTGCACAAGTCCGACATGCATGCTGATCTTTCTTTCCTCGCACTCCTTCGTCAACCATAGTCCCAAACCGCGTAGCGCTCTCTCATTGGACTGATCCTGGCATATGCAGACGTTGGAACTGAACTCATACAACGTGAGATACCGCAGAGTAGTGCCCACGAGTAGTTTCTCCAACCTGTACTTGTGTACTATTTTCGCCAAGGAGTCTGCTGTTGGCTCATTGACTCTGTATTCGACCTGCGCCAACACACTTGTACACATTCTGATATTGAGGCGCTGGAGCGCTGGGAACTTGTCTATGTGACTGAGCAAAGTTCTGATGTTGTGCATGCCTCCTAATATCAACGATCTTAGGCTGCCAAAAGCGTTGTTGGCTGAGAGAAGCGTAGTAAGTCGATGTATGTTGCGATAGCCTCGGACTAGAACATGGGATCTACCGAGGACGACTGGTGTGATATCTTTCCTGATTGCGGATGATACCTGGGAAATGCCTGCTAGGCCGTAGTAAGGTCTCGGGGGGTAGGCTTTGATGTCGGCGTTTTCCCCAGGAACGTTGACAAATATGACTGCGTACTTTCCGACTGCACCCGCAAGCACGGCTTCATAGACAATATCTCTTAGCTCTCTTGGAAGTTTGCCAAGATCTCCAAGGCCAGTGGTGGGTGCTTCGGTGGGTGCGAGATCATTTTTGTCTCTAGAATTGAGGAAGATTGCGAGGCTACCCATGATCTTGGTTGAGTAAGAAAGTGAGACCAGTGGTTGTCAGTTCAGCGCATTCTCATAGTCGGTGCGAACTCATAAGCGCAGGGAGTCATACATGCACGTCAAAGTGACGAGCAGGTCAGTCCTGTTGGCTTCACTATACCTATCGCAATTACTAGGGTTACTGAGGGAAACAAGAAGGATGGTTTGCTGCCTAAACACCATGGTCGAGGTAGAAAAGCCAACCGTGCACTCCAAATGCACTCGACGAAGTATCCCTGGAGGTCTAGCCCGAGTATTAGATCTTGGCTAACACGACTATGCAGGATAGGGACTTCGACGAAGATCCTTTCTCATCTCCATCGCCTGCCCAAAATCCGATGGGACAAGCTGCACCTACTCGATCTCGCCGAGCGCAATCCACCCCCGGCTATTCATTGCTTGCACCGCCTCCAGCGACCCCTAGCGGCTCTTTCGAGGCGACCCATACTCTAGAAAGCAGCCCGCTTTCCAATATGACCCCGCTACCGGCCTCTGGCCTGGGGCAATGGACAGCCCAGATGGAAGGCCGGCCTACGTCTCTACCAATGTTACCGTTCACGACCCGAGGATTTCGCAACCCCGATGCGGTTCCGGCTTTCCATCGGTTTGAGACAACCATCTCAGCAAATCTCTCCTTCGGCATTCGGTTCATGTGCGACGACTACGAACATTCAGGGGTAAACTTCGGTTTAGCTGCGCTGCAGATCCTACTCACACAGCTCACTGGTACCGACGACTTCGTGATCGGCCTAGGTCGAGCTTTGAAGGGCAAGGGCGATACTATGCCAGTGCGTTTCAAGGGCGACTCGCAACACACCTCCAACCAACTCTTAGAGCAGACTAAGGCGTCCATGGACGTGTCTAGACGGTATCTTCATGTACCAGTCAAGAACTTGTTATCCGAGTTGAACATCTCGAAGCAGACACTTCTTCATCAAGTCACCTTTGACTGGATCGCTAGTGCCTATCCGACCTCTCCGACTACCGATATGTACTTCGAGCATGCTCAAGACCTCGTCTTGATTGTACGCGAAGACCTCGACCGCAATCTAGTCGTATTCGTTGGCCTTGACGAGAAGACGTATGACAAAGAACATGCTGAAGTGGTGGCGGGGATGTACATCCAAGCAATGGCGCAAATGGTCGCTCAAAACCAGACTACTAGCATCATCGATATGGACCTTATACCCCAAAAAGAACGCGAGCAAGGCATGGCGCACGGCGCCGGACCCGAGCACCAAGTCTCCTTCAGCAGCATTCTCGAGAAGCTTCAGGAGATCGCAACAACGACGCCCGATCGTGTCGCTGTAAAGGATGAACAAAACCAAAAGATTACCTACGTCAACCTCATACGTCGCGCGGTCGCCATGTCTTCCGATTTGAAGAAGCACGAAGTCGCTCGTGGTACTCCTGTGTGCGTGCTCGGTCCACCAACCGTCGATCTTCTTTGCAGTATCGTTGCGATATGGTGCGCTGGCGGTGTTTACGTTCCAATCGACTACCGCCTATCCGTCGATGACAATCTTCCTATCGCTAAGAACTCCGACACTATGTTTTGCATCGTCAGCACGCCAGATCTAGTTGACTATGCATTGAGACTCCAACTTGGTACCGTATTCTTCTGCGGCGACATGGTCTTCACGGAAGGTTTCGACAACATCGAGGAACCGCTGCCAGACGATCTTGCTGTGGGACTGCATCTTCCGTCGTCCGATGGTCTGCCAAAAGGCGTCGTTTTGACCCACGAGAATTCGAAGGTGCTTGTGGCTTCCACTGCCTACTACTTCGAAGAAGAGAAACCGATCGTACTGCAGCACAGCAACTGGACGTCGGAGATGTCGCTCTTCCAGATCTTGTTCGCCCTAACGTCTGGAGGCACACTCTTCGTAGCCGCAGACTCATCTCCCGCCAATGTGACCAAAGTCATGGTGCACCAGAAGATCACCACTACTATTGCTACACCATCTGACTACTCACTTTGGTTCCAACATCCTCGTCACATGCTCAAGGATTGCAAATCTTGGAAATTCGCGTTGAGTGGCGGAGAAAACATCTCATCGAGCGTTATTCGCAACTTCACTGAGCTTCAACTCGACAACCTGGAGCTTGCAAGCTTCTACGGAGCGACTGAGACGACAATCGCTTCCTCCATGAGCTTTGTCGACTACAAGGCATACGCGAGCAACAAAGAAGGCCAGCTCATCCCTGTGGGAACCGCGTTGCCGAACAACCACATCTGGGTAGGCGACCATCTGGGCAGACCACTTCCTGTAGCTTGAACTGGTGATATCTGGGTCGCTGGTCCGGGTGTTGGGCCATGCTACTTTGGCTGTAAGGCCGACGACCATCGTTTCCAGAAATATCCTGGAACTGGTGTGAAGTGTTTTCGGACAGGAGACTGGGGTTTCATCAACGATACTGGGGTACTTTTCGTTACCTCGCGACGCTTAGACGAGTCAACCTCGCAAGTAGGCGGCTTTCACATCGAGCTGGGTGATGTCTCGCGGACAATCGTTGACCAGGCCAAAGGGAGAGTGGTGGAAGCAGTCGTGGTTCTTCATAGCAATGAAGAGCAGGAAGAGCCACAGATCCTGGCTGCTGTTGTCATGACCGGGACACTCAACGCTGCATCGCGCCGGTATCTGCTGAAGCTGCTTCGCGGCCTCCATCTCCCCGCTTACATGCGTCCGACCCGCGCCGTGATCTGGAAGCAGCTGCCACGCACGTCTGGAGGTAAGATTGATCGTCGCGCCGTGATGGCAACTGTGATACCAGATACCGACATTATCCGGGTCATGTAGCCGATGAGCTTCTTTGATGAATGAGTCATAAGGACGTTGGGGTTCTATGCACGCGTTGGATATTCTGGGTGTGTGGAACAAAGCTGTGATCCATAGAGGCATCCATGAATGTATCTAGAAACCTCAACACCTTTGTATCGTTAGCCAGAGAAGCAATGTGACGTGCGTTTCGAAAAACGAGGGGCTAAAGTGAGAAGAACATGCCCCTCCTCCCCCTCCAAAGCACCCATCACCCCTCCATCTCCGCCTCACGCGACCCATTGCGGCTCGCGCCGCATATTGCATGCCGCAAAGAATGCATCCGTGACCAGAACACAGCCCGCCAGCTCACGAGCTTCTGTATGCTTCCGGTGACTTCCAACACCAAGGCAGCGTATGAGCCCAACTCCCCCACATGCCCAGCCAATCAGAACCTGCCATCTTTCGCACCGGCGGCGTCACCGTACTTTGGGCCATGCAGATGCAAAACAACTAGCTAGCGCTGCGCGGGAGCCCAAAACAACGCGTCTTCTTAAATGTTAGGATCCCCAGATTTTTCTGTCGTTTAGTAATTTTCCTGCCTTTTGGTGATTGCGTGACGTTTGCCAGTTCTGAAGATGGCGGAATTAGTTGTTGCGGGCCCGCCTGCCCCACCTCCGATGACGTTTCGCGATCGGTTGTCGCAGTTTAGAATTCTGGAAGAGAAGAGGTGCGAGCTTATTGAGGTATGCTACTGGAGGCGTCCTGGATGCCATGATGGTTTTGACGATGGAGTAGGAACTCCTAGACAAGCTCGAAAAGACAGAAGCACGCCTCGCACAGTGTGAACTCGACCTCGGCTCCGAACAGAATGTCAGGCGGACGTTGCAAGCGGAAATCGCAGATGTCACGCGGACGATGCAAGGGCAGCTGTCAGAGTCAAAGGCAAAAGAAGAGGCTCTAGTGCAGTCGCAGTCCAAACGGCCGTTCGTTATGGTGCTCATAGATGCCGATGCCGAAGGCTTCCTGGTATGTGTTGTAGTATACTTCTAGTCGTGCATCTTAGCTGACCGTCCCAGTTCCAAGACAAATACATAACACGGAAAGCTCAAGGCGGCGAAGCATTAGCAGATGAACTGAACATACGGATAAGAGAATACTTGCGGGAGCTGTACGAAGATGCCGACTCACTCGACATCATTGTCCGCATATATGCCAACTTGGAAGGTATGGCCAACTACCTTGTACGACTTGAGAAGGTTCGGAACTTGGGTCAGCTACGAGCCTTCTCGACTGGCTTCTGCGGCAGGATAACGAGCTTCGACTGGATCGATACTGGAGTCGGCAAGGAAGGCGGAGCAGGAAGAAAAGTGCGAGGTATGTATCCACGCATGCTCGAGGTGGAAGGTCGCGAGGTCGCTAACATGACACAGAAAACTTGTCGTTCTTCGCATCGAACACGCACCTACGACACACGATAGTCGCATGCTCGCCCGTCGACCTACCCGCTTCTCTCCTCACCTCCATACCACTCGAGAAGCTAACGCTGATCGAATCTCTCCCGCTGCCTTCTTCGCTTACAACACTACCTTTGAAAACCGCCAAGTTCCCCTCTCTCTTCCCTCCTCCGCCACCCACCAAGAACGCAAAGCCCAGTCGAGAGCGCGGCCGAAACGAGCGAGGACTAAGCGAAACTGACGTGAGAAGAGGAGACAGGGACATGCGAAGAGGAGATGAAAGAGGCGGAGGACCGCAACTGCAGCTCATGGAACAAGAGCATGAAGGTGGAGGCTCTACATGGCTGGTCATACAACCTGAGAGGAGTAAGAGCCAGGCTGTTAGCGGGAGGGACAGGGACAGAGACAGGAGGAGGGCTCCAAGCGAAGACGATACCAGCAGCTTGAGTATTAGCATCGGGCCAGACAATACTGTCAGTGTTGACAGTGGGAGGCGGCGGAGGTTGATGGGCTAGTCTTGGTTTGACATACGAGATCTGGGATCTTTGATATGAAGGGAAGCTGTCACGTCGCGTACTATTTGATGAGTTTGATAGCATGGCATAGCATAGCGCAGCGGCATATATTCGTAGTGTTTATCGTACGCAAGCATAGTGGCGAGCAGTACAACCGGAAATCTACAGCGTTTGTCGGAAGCCTTCCTGGCCCTCCAGAATCCTCTCTCCACGATCAGCCTGGCGATTAGCTCGTGAGTAGACCCAGAAGTTCTTGAGCACGTGTAGTATGCTCAGAACCTGAGTTGCGATAACAACGGCCATGGCAGGTCTATATGAGTTAGCTTTAGATCCTCACACATTGTGATGCAGAAACTTACATGTACTTCGGCGCATCCTGCTGTCGGAAAATGTTCGACGCTGCGATGCCTCCGCAAGCTCCACCTCCGATCAACAACGCACTCGCTACACTCCTCTTCATCTGCCCGACGATGTTGTTGTGCATATAACTCAGTATACTAGGCACATTCGCGTTTGCACCACTGACACCCAGAAAGACTCCGGCATACCGTGCGCGAGCGTTGCTGAGGAAAGCCATCATGCACACCCCCAAAACAGCCCATGCGCAGTTGAACACGATGATCGCACCGCGCATTCTATATTTGTCGGCGACCCATGCCGTGCCAAACATCCAAGCCGCAGCCAGGACGTATGGCGGGAAAGACAGGATCTGACTCATGGCGACAGAGTAACCCATGTCGTTGCGGAGGATGATTGGCAGGAAGTATCCCCAGCTGTATGCGACGACGTTGTTGAGGAAGTAGAGCCATGCGAACTCCCAGATCTTCCAGTCGCGGAGATGTTTGGCGATGGTTGAACGGGTAAGTTTATCGGCAACGGCATCGCCACGGTCGCGTTGAATGCGGGCCAGAACAATGTTGGCTTCCGCATCGGTCAGGAAAGGGCGTTTCGTGATGGGACTGGGTTGGCTGGCTTTATCGGGAAAGTCAATAATGGTGACGTAGCCAAGGAAGCCCAGCAACATGGTGATGGCACCCTCCTAGTATCTGTTAGCAACTGGTAGAGAGTAGGGAGGCGCTTGACATACGATCGCAAAGATCCATTGCCACCCATTTAGGCCTCCTAGTCCTCTCATCTCGCTCAGACCCCAAGCCAAGATGTTCGAGAAACCACTCGCAAGCAGCGCTAGCAGGTAGAATCCACTGAATCTCTTTTGCACCTCGAATCTCACATACCAGCAACTTAACAAGAAGACGCAGCCAGGGTAGTAGCCGGCCTCGAGCACACCCAGTATAACTCGGCAACCTAGTGCTTGCGTCCAGTCATCCGTGAAGCCCATGCCGATCGTGACAGCGCCCCAGCAAACGACCAGGGAGGGCAGCCAGACCGCAGGGCCGAGTTTTCGGATAATGATGTTGGCAGGGAACTGGAAAATAATATACGGAATAAAAAAGATCATTGTGAGGATGGAGTAGCGTGAGCCGATTGAAAGACCCAGGTCCTCGTCCATGCCCGCGATACGCGCCTGAATGGTGAGTCAGTATATGGGTTATAGGACGACTGAGGATATGCAGTACATTCGGAAGGTTAACGCGGTCGATGAGTGCGAAGGCATAGATTACAGCGAGTGTTGGCAAAAGCCTGAGATCTATCTTCCGAATGATGCGGCGTGTTTCCTTGTCATCTCTTTCGATAGGTGACGATGCCGGCCCTAAGGAGTCATTCGCTGGGTCTACGGTGTCTTCGAGATTGACACGGTCGTCTCTACCGCCATAGCTTTTCTCGTCGAACGAGATCTTCTGTCGTCAGCGCATCGTTCCAGAAGGGCTTGGATGAACACTGACATGCTCTTTTCGCTCGGCTTCAAGGTCCTTCTCTTTCAGCGACATGTTTCCTCGTGGCGGACTCGCTGAGACACCATGCGCTGCGCACACATCCTCAAGCTTCTTATCGCTGCATCCCCTCCAGTTCTCCAACAAGAAATCCCCGCCAAACGTCTCCCGAATCGCGGGGTGCTGCGCACATCTTTACTCAATCCGGCTATGACAGACCGTTTCTTGGAGTAAGAGCTCGCTTCGCAGACTTAGCTTCATGCATTGTTACATACGAAGTTCAGCTTCCGCAGCGGAGTGGAAGCTTGGCTATTGAGTTGTTCGGGTAAATGAAGCTTGTGAATGACGTATGTTGACTCGACTTTGCGATGTCAGCGTCGGCAAAGGGAAGGACGCAAGCTTGAGTGGGTATTGCAGTCGCGTATTTGCTTGGTTCTCTGGATTGTGTCTACACCTGGCGTGGCGATCTCCGGTTTGCGCCATGGACATAAGCGTGCCGTCCGTGAATAGGGAGTCATAGCTGCGGTTGGCATTCGTGGGGCACGGCACCTCTGTGATGCGGTTCTCATATCGCGATCATCGATAGAACAGTTGCGTTATCATCAAAGGGGAGCAAAGTACATGCAGGTGGAAGGCGGAGAGCAATGCTACGTCGACGCGATTGATGATGGATGCTGAGCACGTGACAGTGCCCAAATGGGACTAGCTCATCGCGAATCTTCCACGCTAAACTTCAGCGCGTTCCCGAGGTCCTGGCATCGACGCCTCACTCTTCCATCATACTCAGCGATGCCCGCCTTCTTAGATGATAGTATCGCAAAGAAGCGATGCTTGACTTGAACCCCAAAACACTCTTCCGTCTACATCGCAATTGCTCCTAGTTAAGATGGTCGGATGCCGAACGTATGCGCGTCCACATGGAGCACCCACTCATCGAAGATCATCGCTGCTGGCTTGCTGACAACGAAGCAAATCTGTTTGAGGTCTCGGTCCTCCGAAAGTTCTCTATTGATAGTTCCATAACTTCTTACTCTAGGTCTCTGGTTGCAACTCGAACACCGCCAATACCGCACCATATTGATGTGTTGTTCTCGATCGCTTCGACCATCTTCCCATGCCTTGTTCACGGTGCAGCTGCGAGTTTGGGGGCGAGCTTGATTCATCGCTAATGCGTCATTTCATTACCACAACCGAGTGGAAGACTCGGAGAAACCAGTAATATCATAACCAACACTAACCGAGGATATGGCACTGATCGATCAATATCCAACATCCAACATGTGGTGTCGCACGAAGAGTCACCGTACACCAACGTAGCTTGAGCTGAGCTCTACGTATTCTCGTGCGCCGCGAAAGACCATGGTGCGAACCTGAAATCCCTCTCGACCGCGAAATGGCGCCTCAAACCTGATGTCAAAGGTCAGTGCATCGATGGCTGCGTTTGCTTTGATCACGCGCAGCCGATGCAAACGCACAGCGACGCGGTATCAGAGTCGCGACAGCTGCGCGCATCTTACTCACGACCTCATCATACCATTCTGTAATGGCTTCCAATCGCGCTCGAGTGCCCGACCAGGCCTCTCCAATCCACCGTCTGGCGATCAAGCCTCTCTTCGACAGCATCCCATCTCGCGACAAGCTCTACGCTCACTATCTCTCGCAAGCAGCCTGGCATGGAGCGCGCATCATTCTGCGCCAGACCTCTTTAGAATCCGAAGCTATCTTTGATTTCATCATAAAGGCCTATCGTGCGTGCGAGGGCGAGTGGAGCCAGTTCGAGGAAGTATGCGCGGTGACCGAAGATGAAGTCAAGGCTTTTTTGAGCTATGCTGGGCTATTTCTGTACAATCTCGGGAACTTCCATGTAAGCGCCTGCAGTTGTGAGAGAAAATGAGATTATATGCTCACTTTTCAGGGTGAGGGAGGCCAGAAGTTTGTGCCTGGTCTTAGCAAAGAGTCTCTGGAGAAGATCGTTGGATGCGTGGGTATGACAGGATCCGCCGCTCAAAACCTTGTCGACGGTATGACTGCAGTACCTCCGCAGAGCACAGGATATCCACGCGATACTGTTGTGTCAAGCTACTACCTGGACGACCGCATTACGCGCACAGATATCAAAGAAGTTCAGCTATTCATGCAGGAAGAAGGCGTTGAGCCAGAGAATACGAGAGTGCGAAAGACAATCTATAACGGGAACGCCATCTTCGAAATTCTCCGGGCCTCGACTCGGACTGGCAGCAGCGAGCTTACTATAGCTGCACAACTTGGTGGACCGAGATTCAGATTTACGAAAGGAGATGATCAGGACCAGATTTCTACTATCTCCTCATAATAAGTATATCCCTATTCTGCTGTCTTTCATTCGCAAATGACAGCATCAAGATCTTGAGGCCTGGCAATGAGACTAACGAAATATCACAGCCTCCAGAGGGCCAGTATGTACGCACAGAATCAAAACCAGAAGGACATACTCGATTGCCACATGCACAGCTTCGAGACCGGAGATCTCCGAGAATATCGACGAGGCCAAGAGATCTGGGTCAAAGACAAATCCCCATCAATCGAACACATTCTCGGCTTCGTTGAAACCTATCGCGATCCTCATGGCGTACGAGCGAAATGGGAAGGCGTGGTATGTATTGCGGACCCGGAAGAAACGAAGAAGATGGAAGTCTTTGTAGCTAGTGCAGCGAAATTCTGTACCTTGCTACCTTGGGCGACGGCGGAGAACGAGGGCAAGGGTTTATTCGAGAAGGACGTGGTTGTCATACCCCAATGTGCTATCGTGCATGGTGAGTGCCGGCCCTGTCCATACATAAACGCATGCTAACGCTGATGATGCAGCTCTGACAGTCTGCTGCCCGTATGTTTGGGAAGCGTCAAATCTCCCCAACGTAAGTCTTACTAACTGCCCTCCACATCCCAATAATCTAGTCACTCACCTCCAATCGCTCAGTACAACGATATTCGCGAAAACCACGGCTCAAAGAACACCATCATCGCCAACCGAATGAACGCGAATCGAAACTCCCCTGGCGCATCCATCTACCTTCAGCCCCCAAACCGCGAACCCTACCGCGAAAACCTCCATACCATCCGCTTCGTCGCAACAGTCATCCACGAACTCCTCGGCCACGGCACTGGACAGCTCCTCAGTGAAACAGCCCCCGGTATCTTCAACTTCGATGTCACAAACCCGCCAATTAACCCTTTGACGGGCCAAACGGTGGCCTCCTGCTACCGCCCCAACGAAACATACTGGAGCATATTCGAAGACATTCTCGCCATCTTCGGGTATGACGAGAAGACTGAGTTGATGGCTGATCACTTGATCTACCTTTCGTACCTGCACCTTGGTGTCGAAGGTCTTCGTTCGCTCGAACACTACAACCCCGATGACAAGAAGTGGACCCAAGCCCACAGCCAAGGTTACTTCGCCATCTTCAAACACCTCCTCATGGAAGGAGACGGCGTCCTCACGGTCCATCACAACCCTAACACATCCGACCTACACGTTACTGTCGACAGTACCAAAATCCTTTCCCACGGCAAACCTGCACTGGGTCGCTTGATGTGCAAGCTGCACATCTGGCGGTGTACAGCGAACGTTGGGGCGTGTCGACGGTTTTATGAGAGCTTGACCAGTGTAGAGGATGTATATGAGGAGTGGAGGCAGGTTGTGGCGACGAGGCCGGAGCGGAGGGCGAAGTTCGTGCAGGGAAATACGTTCCTGAAAAAGAATGGGGAGATGGAATATAGGGAGTACGAGGAGAGTGACGAGGGGATCATAAGGTCTTGGGCTGAGAGGGGGGTTCATTGAGGTTGTTTGTAGGAGGATGTTTGGGGTAGGAGCAGGTGATCCTGAAGCTGGCTTCACACTTGATGTCGTTTGGCTCAGCTGCAAGGCCCCTCAGTGATTTCCGTTTCTTACAACCTAAAGCCAACGAAGGAAAGGGAGAGCTACGGTATTCACGACTTGGCAGCATATCAGGATAGCTGTGCGGAGTCATACATTGAGAAATATCGAGACTTCGCTTTCCAACCCTGCCCATGGAGGAGCTATCACGCCTTTGCAACCCACAACTAGACCTTCTGAGGTTTTAAGTAAAGCTCTACCTGCCATTCATGTATACCACACATACTCCTCATCCCGTAATATTCCACCATAGAATCAATACGCCGACTCGGCGGATCCACTGGGAACTGCGTCGCCGCTTTCAGCTCCTCTTCAGTCGTAGTAAACTGGGGGATGTTTTCGCAGAAGAAGCCAGCCGGGCCCCCTTCTCTCTTGGTAATATCCACGATGACCGAGCGTACGTTGAAACCCGGTAAGCCATGTGCGAGTACCAACGTATATTTGTCTACTTCAAGTAGCGCATGAGGGTCTTCTAGGAAGCGCATTTCGATGTCTTTGTGTTTCGCATATTCGGCTAGCCAGTCGCGGTCTTGCTGGTTGCAGTTTACGTCTTGAAAGATGATTGGGACCGGATTTTTGAATTTGTTGGCTAACATATGCGCCATGTCGAACACGAGAAGTGTGTGGTACTTGTTCAACCCCAGATCATACCGACCAAGGTCATCGGGGGAAGCTTCCGCCTCCTCGGTGTATAATGGACCAAGTCCAAAGGCGACGATCTTTCGAATGTTCTTGACAGGTGTTGCCATCCATGCTTCATGCAAGCTAGCCAAGAAATACCTGCGCTTTTCGCTCGTCTCCCACGTCTTTGCTGTTTCTATCAAATCTTTGGTACGTAAATTGGGGTCAACCTGTTGTGGAACAGGCATGGGAAACATGCTGATCCCCAAGTTCAAGATCTTCGACAGCAGATCCGTATGCGCTGGGAGATTGATGTAATCCTTGTAGACTGAGTTTGCCATGACGCCATTGCTGAGCAGAAACGCGGTCTCTGGGAAGGTGTTGTCGATGTGCGTCCAGAATCGTAACTCCTTCCGTACATCATTGCCACTACAAGGCTCGGTCGTTAGCTATCAAGCCCACTTCTGACAAGGTTTCCATCATGAACAGCTGTTAGACATACCTCGCCGAGTACGCGCCAGAGAAATCAATATCGTGAGTCCTCCCACTCCTATCCATCAAGGAACATATATGGTTGTCGTTGTTCAAAGTGGCTAGTTGCTCTGAATTGTGCTTGATCGCCTTTTTCGTATACACTCGTCGACTGTCGTTGTAAAAGTTGTTTAGCTGGTGGACTGCGTCTGACATATTTGACACGATGGAGAGAACTGATGCCCGTGATGGCCTGGCAAACGTTGTACTTGGTAGACGTAAGGAGGCTTCTCAGTCTTCGTGAACGGTCGTTAGATTTGGAAAGGTGATAGTCGAGCAGCGACGTTTTATACTTCGCGTGACTCTTCAGTTTGACAGTGAGACTCAGCTGCGATGTCGTAACAAGCAGCTATCAGTCATGATTTCTGATTCTAGTAGTGCCATTCCGTGTACTTGTACGACGATACTGCGAAGTCAGGAAAATGACTGTGGCTCCAGTGAGTCTCTAAATCTTGGTGCCCGCAGATTGAAGCCGCGCCGCCAGAGAAGCGACTGTGATCTCTGTGCTTTTTCGCTTACAGGTCGTGACGTTGGTATGGTCGTGCGCTGTAGCTCTGTGCGGTGTTGGCAGCTATGCCCACCAAGCTGATCGTAAGTACGGAGGCTCATAACACCAACCAAGAGAGTCATAGCGGCGATATCGTTGACTGATAAGGGCAATCAGATCCTGATGCAGTCTTTGCTCTTACGTCGTCAGCCGCTTTGGCGCAAGACTCATTGTCCGCTGCTGATCATTCGCAGTCACGACACCAGTAAACTTGTCAGATATTGAGAGAAAGACGTGTATTGACGTTCATTTCTTCCACTGCCTCCAAGCATCTACAAAACCCACCTTCTCTGCCGCCTCATCGCGCCCGCCCAAGCCACCAGCTCCTTCACCCAATCCTCCAAGATCGATAAGTGGCACCATACTAGGCCGGCCATGCGCGCACATGAACGGAAAGACACAGCCGGCCAGATTCCTCACTAAAGCCTTACAGTCATCGATACTCAAAGCGTCATTGAACATGATGGCCGAGCGACAAGCGCGGGAGTTGACGAGAGCAATGAGGCCCGGCGGGCAGGTGGCTAGACGTCTGACCCAGTCGGTGGGGTCATTTGCTGATGAGCTGGATGGTGTGGGTAGAGGAGGGAGACGTGATTCTTCGGCGTATTTCCAGACTGTTGAGCGGAGGAAAGAGATTAGGACTTTGGGATCGGCTTTACATCGTTCGGATATACCAGTTGGAAGAGCTGTGACGGACAAGACATACTTGTCCTTGTCGGCAGTGCTAGGAAGAGATGCAGATACTGTCGTCTGGACGATGTCATAGAGAATACCCCATGCTGCAAAACGCGCGGCATGCGTTGTGAAGTGTGCTCGTTCCTGCGGAGAGATTGCGAATTGCGTTGGCTTATCCAGAACGACGGAGGCAACCTGCGCCTGATGGCCGAGCTTTGACCGATACCCTTCTTCACCTTGAAGCGGGCTGCAAAGCTGGCGAAGGAGCGACTCAACCTGCACACGCTCATCTGCTGCATGCTGATCGATTAGTACAAGGAGTCCCGCGCGCGCATCTTCCTCCCGTGTTGAATCTTGCATCTTGACTATGATAAACTTCTTGTCGACCTGCGCAATGACTTGCGCGTCATGCAGCCCTTCTTTTGACAGTCTACTCGAGCCGCTCGATGAAGTTTGGTTGAAAGCTCTGTCGATATCGATGCGAGAACAACCATGTCTGGAATGATGGTGTCCGTGATCAGCCTCATCTGCGTGCAATACAGCTTGTTGTATACGCTTCTCGCTTGTCTTGAAGACTGGGTTCTCCCACGTGTCTAGTACATCATCGAGCCAGGGGGTCTTGCCAGCCACAGCCGTCGCAGCCCGTGTCGGTAATCGCATGGACCTGCTCGATGTGTTATGGGATATCGATCCCGAAAGCAAAGCTGAGTCGGTACTTGGCCGCGACCGAGCGTCAGGTACTACGCAACCTGTTCTAGCGTTCAGTAGATGCGTCTTCTTAGTCGTTGGATCTGTCCACAAGATGATATCGTCATTCTCCTTGTTATCGGTTTCCAGGCTCTGTGCAGGCAGCGAAACTTCGTCGCGCTGTTCTTGTCCGCTCAGAGCACCTTGAGCTAGCGGCCCTACATCAAAGTGGGCGATGGCTTCGGAGTTTGCGCCATGTGAAGTATCGAATGCGGCCTTGGATTTCGGCACGTTCAGAGTGCTGCTGAAGAACTCGGGCTTTCCACTCTTGATGCGTGACCACTCTGCAAAAGCCCCGGAGCGAGACCTGTCGACCAACTCGCGTGACGATATCTTTTCTGGGCGTTTTCTCTTGAGAGACTGTGACGGAGTTGAGCTTTGCTTTGGTGTTGCCGAGCGCACTCTTGTATCGTGTCCTCGAAAAGCCATGTTAGTTGTGGGGCTTTCCGTGAATGGCGTGTTGACAGCAGCGTCCTCAGCAGCGCTAGAAGCAGTACCAGGCCGTTCGCGCTTCTTACGAGGATGCCGGGGTCTAAAGTGATGGACCGACAACCATTGAGTTACCATTGCATCCAGGACCTTCATCACGTTCTGTAGGTTCGCTTCATCTCCGATGAACTGATCTTCGGAAACGCTTCTCCTGCGAGCCTCCTTCAACGAGATGCGAAGGTGAAACATGGGGTATCTGTCGACGTCTTTGCGTGCTTTGAGCTGTTTGTTTGTATAGCCATCCTGCTTGAAGCGCTTGTCTGTCTGCCGTCGAATTTTCTCCTGCTCATCGACGTCGGCATCTTCCTCGATAGTACCAAAGCTGGACAATGCGAAGAGGCGATTGACTCCATCAAAAAGTTCGTTGTGACCGGCCTCCGCAGAAAGCGGTCGTATGCCCAGCGAGATGAACTGAACTTGCTTGCTGGGTGCTGGAGTTAGTGATATAGCGCCCTTAATCGAGATGGCAGATGTGGAAGCCGACGCTGGTACCCACGACGCCCACTCATCGACGGTGATGTAGTTGACCTGGGTCAATACGTTGAGGAGTGATGAGAGCTGTGCCGATCGTGGCTTCGCAATCTCACTTTCTTTTCTCTTTGTGGCTGCTTCCGCGCCGGATATGCTGAGACTGAGCACCACCCTGTTGTCACCGTCCCGTATTCGAATAGCAATCGGACGCTGCCAACTGAGCAAGAGACCCGTTACGTCCCTCTTCAACCCATCCCAGAGTCTGTCGTGTTCGGCTCTTTGCTCTGAAATTATCGACCGTTGCTTCACGCGCACGGGCATATTGCCGAACAAGTTCCGCACGGTGACGCGGGTGCCATGCCTGCCTGATATCTCGTGATGCGCCGACGCCGGAAGTTGCCTTTCCACGGCCTTGGATTGGTGGAACGTTATCGCGTTATGTGAACGGTGTTGGTAGTGGTGCGAGGAGATGGTCAGGAGTGACATAGCAGCGAGCGACGCGAGGAAGGTGCCATTGCGGCCAAGGAGAGGTTCCGTCGCATGGTACTTGGACGTGCCTGTCGCCGTCAATTATCTATCTACATGACTTTCGGCGTGTACACATACAGTAGAGCTTGCCCAGGCCTCCTTCTTCGCGAAACTCGAGGGGAGATACGCCGAGACCGTCGTCTTCGACCGAGCATCCGCCGCGCGCGAAGTCAATCGCGGCTTCTACCTTGGTCGCTTTCGCGTCCAGGGAATTCTTCAGGAGCTCCAGCACAACTCCCGTAAGCGAGACAATTGCCGTCGACGACTTGATTTGGGCGATCACCTCGGCGGGCAGGGGCAGTATAGTTCGCGTGGGAGCATTGGGGATAGTATGTTTGGCGCCAATGGACGTGTTTCGGGTCATGACGTAGTGATAAGTCTGGCGGGCGCCCCCTCAGCCCTCGTTGTTTGATGACCCGTGTTCGATCATGTTAAGGGGTCGCGCCGTGATCAGTGTTGAGTTTGGGTGGGCGATAACATGGAGATCTACAGAACATACGCAATCGTGTGTCGTGAAGGGAACATGGCAGCTTAGCGCGGCGGGCGGCAGGTGCGCTGGGGAAAAGGGTCAGGGTCCAGCCGGAGATATGAGCAGGAGCGACCAGCAGCTCCTCGCTCTTTCCCCATCAGCGCAACCTCCCGGCCCCAACCGCGTAACCTAGACTGCCTCAATCGCCTCGGATTACTGATATTAGCGACACGACTTGCTGTCTCGCCATTCGATAATCGCGCCCGACCGCCTGCGCTGGCTTTCACGACGCACACCGCGCTACCGACAGCCGCGTCCCCATTACTCCAGTAGATTCGACGTGGGATCGTCAGACTAAACGTGGCATCCCGCGCCTAACTAGCCCAACGACCTCCTTCACTCACCACCGGCACTCTATATTTGGCAGCCGGCATAATGGCTACGGCCGAAGCTGCTTCGAGACCCCATGGTACGGTGAACTAGTCTTGCACAGCCATTGTCTCAGACAACTACCCAAATCATATCCTCCCTACACCACGCCCGCTCTCCCCTCGTCAAATAATACTCACCATGCTAACGCGATACAAAGACCGACATGCGCGCAAGCGACCCTTTGCAGGTTGGATGAAGCGCCTGGCCAATCTCAAGCCCTCCTCATCCGACGCCCCAGGCAAGAAGGGCAACACCGTCAAGAAAGGCGCGCCGAAGAACAACCCCTATCCTGAGTCTGGCTACATCAACACAAACGTACCGCCTGCCGACAACTCCTCCGTCACGACGCCAGCCACATTACGATCGCACGACAGCTATACGTCCATAGAGGAGCCCGCGGCCGGACAGCGACAGGCGATAGAGAAGAGCAACAAGTCCACTGCCCCTACGGTTGCCACAGTCCCCGAGACAGTACACTCGTCACGATCAAAGGCGGAGACAGGCGGCAGCAACTTTGTCAATGGCGGTAGCACTTTCTCGTCCCCGCACGGCTCAGAGCACTCTCTCACCACCACCCTGACCACCATACAATCGACCGCGCCCTCGAACATCCTCAACCTCGGCCAGGCGCAACCCCAGAACAATGCGACAACCACAAGCACCACGCCTGTGCACTTTTCGCACCAATTCCCCACCTCCCCGCCGCCGTCAGCCATACCGCCGCATCTGGCGCCGCAGCAGCCGCAGCAGCAGCAGCCCAACTCATATCAGGGCGCCACCGCGAACAACATCCTCACCGATAACGCGTCCATCCTCACACTCGCCTCCTCCTCGAAGCGTCGCCGTCGCAACTCCGTAGACACCAATGCCTCGATGCGCGCACTAGCCCCATCGTCGCATTACGGCGGCAGTCGCGAATCGCTGCCCCTCAGCGTACTATCAGCGAACCCCGACGCCATATACTCGCCCTCCAGCAGGCCAAGCAACGTCAGCGCCTTTGTAAACGCCGAGCGCGCCAGCGTCTACTCAGCATCTGGCGTCACAGCCCCAGTGCTGCCCAGCGAGCGCAACAGCTACTACGCGACCAAGCAAGCCGATGGACTCAGCGTGCGCAGCGGGCTCCTGGGCCACGGCCGCACTGATAGTATCAGCAGCATGCGCGCCACGCCCACCAGCCCGCTCGCCAGCCCCCGCGAAAACCCCATGGGTCCCGCCCGCATCAGCCGAAAGAGCTCAGAGTGGAAAGACGCGAGGGAAGCAAGCGACGAGGATGAGGCGCCCGCGAGCCCCATTGTTGAGGAACACGAGGATAAGCCGACGCCGAATGCTCAGACCTGAGTCAGTCCCAATGAAGCAGGCGCACGAGTACAAAGTTACGATAACCGAGATACCAACATTGGCGTTGATGGGGTTAGGATTGGTGGGTGGGCTGTGTCACGATATTCGGATTAATAGGGCAGAACGGAATACGGTCACTAGTACTGGTGACTCTTGGATGATGCGAGGATGGCGTTAGTATGGGGCTGGGCTGGATGGATGGGTGGGTTTGTGGTATTTTGGCTTCTTCATCTTATACCCTAGTATCGAATGGAGCTTTTTTTTCTTTGTGAAGTGAGTGCACTATGATGTGTTTATGTGTGTTGATTCGGGAAGGTGCGACTAGTCTATGGGGCATCTGGTCGCTCTTGCTACATTCGAAGCGAACCGGCCCGTGGCCTTTCCTCAACCGTCAGAATTCTCTCCATGTTCCCCAATCTCTTCTGCTCATTCTTCTCCGTCTCCTAGATCTTCCACCACCTTGGCTCGACAGTACAGGCTTTCTTTTCTTCCTCGGATCCATGAAGATGATAGGTGCAAGGATGCAATACGAACGAGTCCTGATGCTGCTGCAGCATCTTGTTTTGCTTCAGCATAACAGCAACAAGGAACTCGTTTGGCAACTGCGACATCAGACTCTTTTCTGCCTCGTCGTCATGTTCCTCTGTCCACGCAATGCACTGCAAGTCAACCATCATAACGAGGATCGGGTTGTCCTTCGGCAGGTTGTCAAAGGCCCATATGCTAGTCTCATATGGAATGCCATTGGTTCCATCATCCACTACCTCAAAGTGCTCATTGACGAATGTGTTGTGTGCGAGACGATGGAAAGCTGGTACCAGGAATCGATCGCCGAATATGCCACATTTCAAGACGAGCTCCCAAGCGTGGCGATATCTGGGCGAGTACAGTACAGAACCAGGATCAGTTTCTTCTGCCAGCCACAGGATAAATTGTGGGCGGTTGGGCAGCGTTTGAGCGTATAGCCAGTGAACAAAAATGTTGAACACTTCGACCTCGATATCTTCCAGCGTAACGCCCTCGTCCGACTCTTTCCAGCGCCCATTGTACGCAGTGCGAAAATACTCCGAATGGTGGCAGATGACGTCCTTGTGAATGTTGTAGCGCTTCTTCTCCGGGCCGATGAAGATGGTGACGATTTCGCCTTTGGCGGCAGTGCTGTTCAGTCTGTTAGTGACTATGATAGCTGAAGTCGCAGCGAGTGAACTACTTACCCGAACACAGGTGCGCCTTGAGGTACTTGCGGCTTGTCCGTCATAGCGCTGTCGAGTTTGTGTGAATGTGGCGGTGTGCAGGTAGAAAAGAGGGTAGGTGGGAGGAAGAGGTGGTGCAGACTATTTGCGGGTTAGTCGAACTTTGGAGGTGAAGGTGAGTCCAGAGCAGACACACTAATCCAGAAAGCGCTCTAGCTTATCTTATTTTCTCTCACTTCCTGGAAAACCGTGAGCAAAATTGAGAAATACGTTGTGTAGAGTGAAGTATTTTCGAGAGGGTATGAGATAGCGTGTAGGACTTCAAGTAGGCTGTGGGTTGTGTTGAATGAGTTCATAGTGTGGTAATAGGGATACATAAGTTTCCGGATGATTGATACAAGGCTGTGAGAGGGCTTGAGTACCTCCTGGGTGTGGTGAGGTTGTTGGTTTCGTCGTGAGAGAGGTCAATGTAGACGTCTCGCACAGGTCGATTTCAGGGGACATGCATCCCGTATCTACCTCTTGAACCTGTCCTTTGGAGACAAATAGAGCTATTCTGATGTAAATTCTAATAATGTTCGATGTTCCAATGATACACATGTCCTATCTACCCCCAAACCTTTCCAGCTATTTCCAAAGTACCGTCCGACACTGATCTATTTCAAGTGATATACACCCAGTATATATCCCCTAAACCATCTCTCGTGATGTTAAAGTACTATCTCAACCTCCTCCCATCTTCTTCAACTTCTATCCATCTGGTAAAAGATGGGATGAAAGACATAGTGGGCTGTGCGGTGAAGAGTCAAATGTGACTAACATGGCGAAGAGTCAACACCACGCAGCCACCACACAGTCACAACACTGGATATGTGACTGTTATACGTATGAATCACCGTATGAATATGTCTCGTATAAGAGTGGAGAGGAGTGGCATCTGGTTATCACCACACACGTCTACCAGTACGAGACCTATCCGAGACGACATCAGACGAACCACATCCACGCAGCCTTTCCATATCGGCATTATACTACGATACTCTTTTTCAAACAATGGCCTCTCAATCGGCAGACATGGTCGCTACATCGCGGTTCGAGCACGAGGTCCAGCGTAGCAGGGGGCTATTCGCTTCATATATATCGCGGTACAGCAACTTTCCGAATACCGTGTATGCTGTACAATCTTCCAAGAAGCTTTTCGAAAGATGTGTGAAGCCAGGGTGTTCTCCAGAACTAGGCCTGGCTGAGCAAATCGCTGCGTTCAATGAGCAACTTCGCGACTTTAGCAGCATCACGACTTCGCCCAACGACGACTCAACATTGTTAAGGGAGTGGAAGGAGATTGGAATCGCACTAAAACTCATAGCATGTGCTTTGGAGGAGACCGAGGTATGAAGCTTTCTCTATCTCATATGTGAACTCAAAAAGCTAACAATACTGATGTACTAGTAGAACGAGGCCATCACACAAGCTTAATCGTCTCCTCGGAGCACCCATCAAACCAGTCTTTCACTTCAGACCCGAACATCGGATATCCCATTCCCACACGGCTGAAAGTATTCTCAAGCCCGGGTAATCGAATGAGAGCGATCATACAGGAGCGTCTTAACGAGAGGTTATGGAAGCGAACAACGAGTAGTCCATACAAGCAATCATCCCATGTTTCAGTCGGTGTACCCCACCCGGCATCTCTGTACAACGCAACATTGCACTCTGTGTTTTCGCCCTGGTCAGGTCCAACGCCCAAATGACCGATATGCAATTCTTTGTATCGTAGCTTACGAAGTGGGCCCTTGACCACCATATATCCCGATGCGACTTCCCCCCATTCATCCCACATGTGCTGTACATCCGCTTCTTGTACAGTGATGGCACAGCTATATGCGTCAGACCAAATGCGCTCTTCCCACGCAACGGCCCCGTCGACAGCAGCCCATGACCACGTTGGCGCTCGGTAATCTTCCGTGCGCCAATTGTCCGATGTGGTGGATCTCCATAGTAACGTCTCGGGGAGATGTATATCCCAAAGTCCAGCAATATACCTGGTGGGACTCTTGATCTTTCCTTGCCAGGTTTTCCACACATCTCGCGCCATTCCACTTATCGCAACCAATTTATCGTTGGAGTAAGTGAGTTTAGCACTGGAATAATCGGTGACTAAAGCCTGCCAGACCATCTGCATCTGCACTCGAGCTGGCTGTGTTGATATTTCTGGAAGACGGTCGTGTATAGTCGAAGATAATGTGGAAGACGACCTGGTCTGCTCATACACGGATTTGGGGAGAGTCCTAGTAGAGGCGGTAAGTACAGCTGAAAGGCCTTCCGGAAAGGTTTCGCAACAATGGGCTGTGCAGCACTCCCAGAATATCTGCTCTCGACCAAAATGTAGTACCCTTTTGGAAAGTTGTCGCTCCTGAAATATCCACGCCCTGTGAAAGACGGCCGTTTTCTGGAGTAACTCCCCGTAAAAGTCTTCGTGTACAAGGTGCCAGCTGGTACCTGTGTAATCATCGGCTGGAAGTGGCCCTCCCAGATCGTCCGACGGTGGGCATAGCAGATGTGGTCCAATTCCTGCTGGATCGCGATCGAAAAAGAACCCCTCACTTGCATCTCGAGCTCCAGACGCTGACAGATTTAAAGTAGCGTTACTATACACTCTGTGCATCTGTACCGATTCTGCTTGCCAGTCTGCTTGGTCATCCTGTATCTGATAGTATATAGTCAGCACCATGTCGTTGGAGTTCGGCAAGATCTCGTACTATGCACAACGAATCTATCCAAATATACCCTAGACCAAGAGACCTGCACAGAGTTATGGCATCCTGGAAGGTGCGCGGGAGCGTCGTTAAGTCGATCTTGCGTTGCAATTGGGCCAAGTTAGCGTTCACCAACCTGATGATTGGCTTGGAACCCCAGCAGTGACTCAGTGTCGCGTAATCGCCTCGCGGACGGCGGCCTCTAGTGAGAACCAGCCTCGAGTCCGATATTCTTGGCATCACCCTTATCAGCCTTGTTGGGTACCAGGTAGTGTCTGCGTCTCCCCGACAGTCTTTGTGGGACGTTTGGCAAATGTTGAGCCATCGTTGCGCTAAGTTCAAAACGGCCGGGGAGTGCGAATGGGAAGGTAGATAACGTGGTACGGGAGTGAATGGTACGTAGTGGAAGACATCGGAAAGAACCAGGGCCTTGGCATCATCCTCTTTTTCCTTTCGATAGAACTTGAGTACTGCAGTCTGCCTTGGATCTTCCCCCTCTTGCGCAGCTGTTTCAGCCATGTAGAAGGTTACGGGATGTATCTTAATGAGTCTTACGGAGCGGAAGTTGTCCTTACTGTTGCGCCATAATTTTTTGCAGATGTAACAACCGCTTTTCATTGCCAATGCTAGATCGAGGAACCCATCGTGGTGAGCTTTATACCATTCGAGGGGTGCGTCATCCCGGGAAGATATCCGACGAAGGATTGGACGCATAGCGAAACACGCATCGCAAAGATGCATTACGGTCTGTTGCTAAAGGGAATCGAGCCAAGCCAGCCGTATTTGGAGGTCCCCATAAAGAGTAGAGAAGAGAGTTGATGTCGAAGCAAATGACGTACTCCGCGATAGCGGGGCTGTGAAGTCATGCGCGAATGTGGCACAGTAGCACAACATCGGACCTTCTCGCAAAATTATATTGCAGCAGTCTCGCCCAGCTCCAATCACATGGTATCCCATCTGGTCCTCGCTGCTTGTGTATTCGCGTAGTAGGGATGGTTCCACGCCCCACTGCCATGCAGATGGACATTGAGGTAACGTGACCAGATGGAGCGGACAATGTGTGATGATCTTGGTAGCAGGTAGCGTTTGTTCCCTTAAAACTGGCGGTTAGAATGGCATCTTACCGACTGGCAGAATAAGCTCGTCTCATAGAGTGATCTTTTCCAGCGGGCGTATCTAGAAGAGTATAAGTTCGAGGAGGATAGCTCCTAGCTCCACTCACTTCCGTGCCGGCTGGCCGGGCACATGTTTTTTTGCTGATACCTGTGTAACGCGATGACTTAAACAACAACATGTGTTTAAAGTGTAAGCGGCTTGTGTCGCTGGCGACTACGGGAAGTCACATGGCCGGCCGAGTGTTGCGATTTGGAGCGTCGGATCAAGCTGCTTCCTTGTCGAAAGCTTCGCTACCTCTACAACCCCGTCCATATAGGCGAAAGAGACGACTCGCTGCCATGTGTCGCGCTACATTTTGATGTAACAGAGCTAGGCCAATCGCAGCGACAACACGCCCAGTCGGTCGTTCGTGAACGGATGACATCGAACTTTGCTAGGCAGTTGATGTGTTCGGTCCTGCATACGCGGCTGACCTCGAACTATCTGCACAGTAGGGATGTGCTAAAGAGATGAATTGTTGCGAAGAAGCTTTTGACCAGTGAATAAGGTATTGTCCATGCGGCGTGGCAGAAGAGAACCTTGGAATAGAATGGGCGACAATTGACGACCGCCCGCAGTTGCAGATTTCGGATATTTGGTTAACTGAGTCAAAAGTTCCGTCCACCGCGCATATGGCATGTCTCGCGACGCGATTCGAAGTGCGGGAGATGAGATTGAAAGGATAAGAAGAGGAGGCTGACGTTGTTCGCGTTCTGGCCCGCAAACCGCGCGGCGATACGCGCCCGGCTTCCTCCAGGGCTGGGCATCCAGGGGCTCGTGCGCTAGGATCAGCGCGGATTAGCGCCCTTGGCAACCCATCTTTCCGCTCTGGCTGCGTGCGTCACCTCAATAACATCCAGGCCTCAAAGTTCGTTCCCCAGGGCCGACACGGCTTCGAGTCCGCTTCGACGCATACTTTCCTTCTCTCGAAAGGGACTTCCGTCCTCACAAGATCATCACCGACCATTGAAATTATCGTCTTCAGCCTAGTTTGGGTTGGCTGGCATGACACCTAGCAGGTCGTTCATGTCGCACACCAACTACGACACGAACATGTCGCTTCTGTGGTATGGAATGCAACTCCCGACCCCGCGTTATGCTGGTAGATCGGAAAACGGTGCCCGTACCTGCGTATGTACCCCGCGACAACATCCATTCTAGCGTTCGCTACCCCGCCACGCCATCGGAGAACATGTGGAAGAGAGGTGTGACCGCTGTATGATTTCATGTCGAATCACATGTGTGAATTGTTCAAAAGGCGCTGGCGATGCTTCTCCGGGCGACATGTTAGTGTCCTACATCGTAAGGGTACTTGACGATCCTTTGGAGCGATGGATACTTCACGGATATATCTATTATCGGCATCGCAGTTTCCCTTTCTAGTTTATCCAGTGTATTCGCATTCTGAAATTTCTGCATGATGTCTACGAAAGACTCTAGTCTGCACCTCTTCTCATACTTTACGATACCTAATATCCTCCTAGCACTCGTGGCATATACTACCGTAAGATGTGTCTACCAGATCATTTACTATCGATACTTTCATCCGCTACGACACTTTCCGGGTCCCTTCTGGGCCAGCGTAACGAGGCTATGGATCGCATACCACAACATCAAGGCGGATGAATGCGAGATCGAACTCGCTCTACACCGCAAATACGGCCCCGTGCTTCGCGTCACCCCTACCCTACTCTTGGTATCCGATGCTACCAAGCTCCCTGAAGTGTACAATCGCCAATCGAACAAGTCGAATCATTACATCACCGGCAGCTTCGGCAAGACCGAGAGTTTGTTCAATATGCGGGAACACAAGCACCACGCGCACTTTCGCAAGATCGCTGCTGGCCCATATAGTTTCAGCAACGTCAGGAAGATGGAAGGGCTAGTGGACGATCGCATCCAGCAGTGGACTGACAAGCTGGAGGAAGTCTTTGGCGATGGCAGTAGATTTGACTTTGCGCCGTGGGTATGCTTCACACTATCGTTATGCTGGCGATCAGGGGCACTGACACTTTATATAGGCAGTATACATGGCATATGACATCATATCGGAGATTGGCTTTGGCGCACCCATCGGATTCATCGAGAGCGGCTCCGATATCGACGGCTTGATCAAAGGCTTCCACGATGGTCTGCTTCCTTTCGGTCTAATGGCTCGGCTCTGGCCGTGTACACAATGGGCGAAAGGCACATGGTTGGGCGAGAAATATCTTGTGGCGAAGCCCGAGGACGACTCTGGTATTGGCACGCTGATGCGCTTCCGTGACAAGCTCATCGCCAAGCGAATCCAAGATATCGAAGCTGGTAAAGTCGACAGAGTCGATCTACTACAGACCTTTCTCGATGCAAGGACAGAAGATGGCGCACCGCTGGATTTGGACTACATCAAAGCTGAGATCCTTCTCGTATTGCTCGCTGGCGCTGATACCACAGGCACTGCATTCCAAGCGATGATTGCGTACATTACATCTGATGCTCAAGTATACGCGAAGTTGATGGAAGAGTTAGATCGCGTCACTCGCGAGGTCAAGTTGAGCCCCATGCCGCAGTATGACGAAGTGTTGGAGCATTGTCCATATTACGTTGCGTGCGTCAAAGAAAGCATGCGGTAAGTCATACTCATCTTCACTATTTCTCTCACGTACTGACGAATACAGTCTCTGTCCCTCCGCTCCCAACATCTTCCCTCGCGTTGTGGGTTCGTCAGGGATGCACCTGCATGGCCGCTACGCGCCGCCCGGTACCGAAATAACCTGCAACCCCTGGCTCGTGCACCGCGATGAGAAGATCTATGGCCAAGATGCCTGTGATTTCCGTCCAGGAAGGTGGCTCGAAAGCGAAGAAAAAGCAAAGGAGTACAACAAGTACAACATGGGCTTTGGATATGGCGCGAGAGTCTGTCTTGGAAAAGACATCGCACTCATGGAGTTATACAAGGCTCCATTGCAATTCTTCAGGACGTTCAAGATTGAGATCGACGAAAGCCGCAAAGGCAATTTTGTAGTCAAAGGTGGTGTAGGATTCTGGGAGGACATGTGGATCGGTATCAAGCGGCGGAAGACGGCGTCGTGATACAATAGATCGAGATGGCCGTTAAGTGTATGCTAGTCAGTATTCAGCGCTGGAGTCCTCAAATCTAAAAGATGAATCGGACAATGGTGCGCGTTGACGCAGTGACGAGCTGGTGATCTAGACCATCCCGTCCCGACCTCGTCACGTGTTGGAGCGGCGATCTACCGCTAGCGGGATCTTGGCGAAACAACTCGAAACGACCGCAATTACGCTACCCATTCTACGGTCCGCGCCTCAGCAACCCAACCACTCGCAGCTCTCACCTTGCCTTTGTACAGGCGCGGCGGCCCCCGCACTGGGGTGCACTGCAAATGTTTCCGAGATGATCCTCGATTGGCGCCGTCTTCTTGGTCCAGGCCTCAGGCCCCAGCGGAAATAGCTTGTTTCATTGCCCGCCTGGTTATATAGGGAGCAACTCCAACATGACGACGACCTGCTACCGCTTTCACGATCATTCGCATCGATTACATTCTTTTTACCGTCTCTCACAGACACACTGACCTGGTTCGCTGGTCGTTCGCTCTTTATTTCGTTCCTCGCTTTGTTTGATCATCTGCTAGCATCATGATGCACTCTGCTTTCTTTTTTTCCCTGCTTGCCGGTACGGCCTTTGCTCAGTATGGCGATAACAGCTACAACGCCCCTGCTGGAGGCTCGAAGCCTGCTCCCTCCGTTACAGCACCTGCTGGGTACGGCACGCCCGTTCCGAACCCGATCGCGTCCCTGGTGCCCATAGTACCTATCGTCTCTGTTATTACATCCGCCCTTGGAGCTATACCCTCAGGATTCCTTCCCGACAATGATCTGCCCAACCCTTTCAAGTCCATCTACATCCCGGCGTCCCAGCTGTTCAACCCTGCTATTGCACCTGCGTTCACCGAGACTGCCGCGGTTCCTCTTTTGTCCCTCCTGCCGGTCTACTCTACCGCATCCAGCTCGTCCGTTGTCGAGCCTACCGGCTCTGCCGAATACCCGGTAGCTCCTCCTACCGTCAAACCGTCCAAGCCTGCAACCTCCACGACTTGCACCGAGAGCAAGGCCCAAAGCACCCGCGTACCCCTTGACGCTACTCGTTCATCGGCTGCCCCTCAGAAGCCTACCGGCGCAAGCTCGGCAGCTACCTCTACCGTTGCGACACCCAAACCCGCAACCTCCACATCTTGCACCAAAAGCAAGGCTCAAAGCACTCGCGTGCCCCTTGACGCTACCGCTTCGTCGCCTCTTCCTCAACGTCCTACCGGTACAGGCTCAGCAGCAGCCTATCCCACCGGAACCGGCATGCGTCCCTCTGGCAACACACGCCCCTCTGGCGCTCCTCGCCCAGACTACTTCCACAACGGCAGCCGCCCCCAAGGTGGCTTCGGCTGGGGCCGCCCAAGGCCTTCTGGCAAGTGGCCTCACACCTACCCCAAGCCTACCCATGCTGCTCATCGCCCCACTAAGCCCTCTGCTGCTCAGGGCTACGGAGGTGTCAAAGCCAGCAGCACGCCCTGCACTTTGGAGACCAGGGTCAGGCCCAAGGCGACCCCCGCCCCTGCTCACTACTAGAGAGCAAATACAACTTGAAGGTATCGCTTCCTGAATTATAATTATGTAAACGTAGTTCATGTATATACCTTATTATCCACAGACCTCCGAGTGGGGTAATACAGCACATGCAGTTGATAGGCGATGCGCCTATTGCGGTTGTCATTGCACAGTTTCTTGTCTCACGTGCGTTCGACCGTGTTCATCATCTTTCACAGCTGTCAGCTGAAGGTTAGCCATCTTCCTTAGCATACAGCTTCACCGTCCTACACGTCTCCAGTATTGTATTCATGCCAACGCGATCAGCTTTCCCAACGTCCTATGATCAGTTCATTTTCGCCGCAATCAGTGCGAACCTTCCGTCCCTACGAGTTTGTACCACAACACCGGACTAGCGGGCTTGGCAGGCAAACGCGCTGTCTTTCACCACCTACCCATCCCGCTACACTCATACGCCGACTGGACTCTCTCAATCCACCAGACCAGCATCGTCACGTCGGCCTTAGCCAACGCACGCCTTCGTCACAATGGGCGAAAACCCAAATCTCGTAACGATCGACCCGAACGGAGACATGCTGATCAAGCTCAAATACCGGAGTACCGCGCAGTCGAAGTGGAAAAACGAGAGCGAATCCGTGGAAGATTGGATCGCTCAGGCAGAAGCCGCCAAAGCAGTTATCGAGAACGAGACTGCGCGACCGGAGCAGAAACCTGCCGAAGTTCACTACCTCGTATCATCGCGACAATTACGCATCGTTTCACCTTACTTCGAAAAGATGTTCAAGCGGAACTACGACGAGACTGTTCCCAATAGCGAGGACGGTCTATATCACGTACGAGCGCAGCAGTGGAATCCGCATGCCCTTGCCATCATGCTCAATATTGCGCACCTTCAGTTCGCGGCTATACCGAAGGAACTCAGCGTTAGGTTGTTTGTTGCGCTGTTTCTGGTTGCGGACTACTACCAGATGGAGGATGCGTTGAGGCTGTTTACGAAAGAGTGGCAGGAACAACTCCAGGAACAGCCGATGCCAACGCTTTACAGCGAAGAGTCGATGCTGTGGATGTTCTTGGGTGTGAAGTTGAAAGAAGGGGAGATATTTGAGAGCATGGCATCTCTGGCAATGAGGGAGGCATGTCATCCGATACAGTTCTTGGATCTACCTTTCCCACGTGGTGAAAAAGGTGAGCGATTCTTCCTGATGCACAAGAGCTTGCTGACTCTGATAGGTGTGGGTCAGCTTGACAGCATGAGGTGTAAGGCTATCCAAGCGCTGCTGGCTGGCACTCATAAGCTCAACCAAGATCTATACGAAGGCAACGCGGGATGCAATGATGCATGTTCGGCAATGATGTTGGGGTTCTTACAGCGAAGCTTGTGGGACACGAAGTTGCTGAGTCACATCGAGAAACATGACCAACATCCCTTCGAAGGACTGTCATTCGATGTGATCTATCGCGGAATCAACAACGTCGTTTATGATCAGAGTTACGGTATCATTATACAGGCCGGTTGTTGTCAAATCCGCGACCTTCTTTATCCAATCTGCGAAAAAGCCGAAGCTCACTTCGAATTGGACTTTTCGTCGTTTTGATCAGAGCATTACGAGCTGGTGGCTCAGCGTCCTGATCCACTTTTTTTGGAGGGCCGCGTATCACTTCCCACACAGCATAGTAGTGCCAATGGGGCAATCTGCAAGTATAAGGGCAACAGAAGCGAAGTGAGCATGATCGATTAGACAAGGATATCAGTGGGATGAAGAGGGCACTTGTACGGAGAGCCCGGTCGGAGAGCCCGGTCGGAGAATGAAGTGCACTGAGCTTCACTAAGTCTAGAACATGAGAAGCAGCGGCATGGAAAAGCTTAGACAATGCTGGCCATTCGGACGTCATTTCATCCACTACCAAATACGTGAACGTTTGTGCTTCGATAGAAGAAGTGCGCGCGCAACATCTCATCCCCGTCTACGATCCCAACTCTCCGATCTCTACTTCTTCGTGAACAAGACAACGAAAACCCAACGTCTTCATCCCAGTCTACCGGCCACTAACTACCTTCTATCCATATGTTCTCAAAGGAGGTCCACTCACGGTCCATGCCCTTGTTTGTGAGATCCTCGGACCTTGTTTCCATATATATCCCTTTGGACACTCTGGGTCGTACTGCATCAGATAGAACATTGGAAGAACCGGGGTGGATGCAGCTATTAGTGTAATGTCAGTACTCTGGAAAGATCAATACAGTGTTTCCGATGATGTTTCAGTCCATGCTCCCAGCCAGGAGCAGAGCTTCTAACTCACTACCATCTGGGACGGGCTTGTTCGAAACGACCGGGCCTACGCCGTTCTGAGCGTGGTTTTGAGCGTTGTCCTGAGTACCGTTCTGAGTACCATTCTGAGTGCTGTTCGACTTCCCAGCTTCGAGCTTGGTCTCCGCGATCCAGGCTTCAACGTCGTTGAGTGCTTTGAGAGGGTCGCCGCGGCAGCCTTGGAGGTAGTTTTGCACTTGCGCCGGGGAAACTGTGGTCATGTTAGTACCATCTTCGGAGTGGGAACGCTCAAAATACTTACATGTATTCGTAGGCATCTTCTCAGCGAATTCAGATGCCCACTCCTCGATTTGCGCCATGGTAAACTCCGCATCATGAGCGAGAGCTGATCGACCAATTAAGCGCTTGAAGATGCTCTTGCCCGCACTAGGGTCCATATTACCGAAGTAGACCTTCTTGTCGATACGACCGGGACGCGTCAAAGCCGCATCGAGCGTATCGGGAGCGTTGGAGGTCATGATCAAGAGTCTTCCTTCTTGAGAGGCGTTTCCGTCGATGGCGTTCAGCAGGCCGCTTAGCGTGACTGTGTTCGATCTACGACCCACACCCGGGTAATCACGAGCCCGAAGTTTTGGCAGCGGACCGATGCCACCTGGAATGCCAGCGACGTCACCCAGATTTTCATCCGCTTGCGCATGTACTCCTGTTGGGGCAGCCGGCGGTGTTCGTTCGCGACCGATACCAGCAGAGTCGATGTCTTCCAAAACCACTACGCACTTGCGTGGAAGGCCTAGAAACAAGCGGTGAAGTGTTCCATCATTGATGCTGCCGGTGGAAAGGTTGATGTGGTAGATGTCGCAGCCAAGATGGCCCGCCAATGCAGCGCTGAATGAGCTCTTGCCGGTACCCGGGGGGCCATGGAAGAGATATCCGCGCCGATATGGGATACCACAGTCGGCAAAGAATGACCGTGACTCCTCGCTATAGTAGTATTCTGCGTCTCTGACAATATCAAATTTGGTAGTCTCGTCCATGTCTATAGTGTCGAGCTTTCGAATGGCTTTGGAGACCGACTGCCAACCGTTACCGTATGGATCTGTACGATCTCCCGCGAAGTATACCGTTGTGGTACCTGTGAGGTTGTTGAGTCGGAACTCGCGACAGAGACTGGTGAACTGCTTGAGTGGTTTGAGGCTCCATCCGAGCGTCATGATAGTGAGGGAGTTTTGAAGCTGGCCGCTATCATCGAGCAGGTTACCGGTCATACCACTGTTGGTCCGATAGCCAGGGCCACCTCGACGTGAGAATAGATACGGTCGAAATCCGACCCAAAATAGTCGTGTACCGATTGGCGGGAGACACAGAACCTCATCGTCCGGTTTCTCGGATGCAAGTCTCGGGTTATGCGCCGCCATCATGCGGCGATGAAACTCGTCATTGGGATCCTGTGTGCCTCCTGTGACCAGCATGGCACTCCTCGTGTGGCTGTTGAGTATCACCTCCGAGCCCATCCACGCCAGAACCTCTCTAGCGACTGGATCGGTCTCTGGGATGGTGACCTGGACGGTAAAGGCCCATGTAAAGAAATCCTTCAGATGCTTATATGCGGGACGAATAGCTTGGTAGAGACCGATGAGTGCGAGGAGCTTTTCAAGATCGCCGATGCCGCTTGGCCGGAGTCGATATAGTAGACGCTGGATAACCTCTAAGATGGGGAACTGACCTGTCGCAGAGCGTTTGAGGTGATGCGGGATGAGTCCGGGTGTGTCCAGACGCTCGGGCCATAGCTGGTCACTCATTCCTGGTGGAACCATGAGCTCGTATCGTGGGTCAGACATTGCGGCGGGCGGTTGAGGGCGATGTTCCCATGTAAGGTTGCGGGGACGAGCTATAACCGCGGTTTCTATACGCGTGTAGATGTATTGAAAAGATGAAGGAAGTGATAATCTCCAAGTTCTGGAGATTGCCGTGTATGTGCTACGCGCCGTGGGTAGGCATTGTTAGACAACCGTGGGTGAGTTGAAATTATGATGGAGTATCGAGAAAGAGTGAAAGTAATGCGATGATGCGCGGAAGAGGCACGTCGGACAAACAGTGGCGCGGTCATGGAAGCGACTGCCTGGACGTTGGAGGTCGAGGCTGAACGGGCTGAACGGCAAGTTTGCGCGAGACCGCATGAGGCAAGAGAGGCTGTGGCATGAGCGCGTTGAGGCTAAGCCTAATTGGGCCAGGTGGGCTGTTTACAGCTGTACGTCATAGCTAATTATTCTAACAGAACTTCTAGGCTTTTTCCACAAACGTCTTACTCTCGTCTTTGAACTTTGCAATTACCAGAATCACTCAGGATAACTTCATTCGAAGAGAGTTTCACATCCCATTACCATCCAAAGCACACACTCGATTCACCATGCCTCCTAAAGCAAACACTTCCGACCTTCACGTCGCGAAGCTCTTCTCAGTCAAAGACTATGTATGCGTAGTGACTGGAGGTGGCTCTGGTATCGGCCTCATGGCTGCCCAGGCCCTTGCTGCGAACGGCGCAAAAGTACGTTCCTTCTTCTCGCGAATGAACAATGCTAACATCAGATAGGTCTACATTACTGGTCGTCGACAAGAAGGTAAGCACGACTGCAGCCCCCTCGAATCAGTCAGACGGAGAGACTGACCATGTTAGCCCTCGAGACCGCAGCGAAGTCACACAGCCCCGACCAAGGTGGTCAAATCATCCCTCTCTCACCATGTGACGTAACCAAGAAAGACGACTTGGAGCGCATGTACCAGGAGCTGGCGTCCAAGGAGAAGTACATCAATCTTCTCATTGCCGCAGCCGGCATCTCAGGCGAGAAGGGTATTCCCGATGCGGACAACGCGACCGACATGAAGAAGAAGCTCTTCGACAACGAGACATTCGAGGGCTGGGCCGAGACCTACAACACCGATGTCACTGCCGTATACTTCACCACTGTCGTTCTCCTGCCGCTTCTCCAAGCTGGAACTGAGAGCCATGGCCACCTTTCTGCCTCTGTCATTGTCATCTCGTCCATGTCGGGAATTATGAAGGACGCACAAGGGCACTTCAGCTACAACGCTGCCAAGGTGAGAGATTCGTCTTCATGTGTGGACGATCTCGACTGACTCTTACTCCAGGGCGGCACCGTCCACCTCAGCAAACTCATGTCGGCTGAGTTCCAGCAGCTTCGCATCCGTGTGAACAGCATTGCCCCTGGCTACTTCCCATCGGAGATGACAGCGAAGGAGAGCGACGAGAACCAGAAGAGTGATCTGCCGGATGAGAAGATCCAGGAGAAGGGCCACGTCCCACACGGTCGGGCGGGAAGCGACGCGGAGATGGCACAGGCCGTCATCTTCCTCACCAAGAACTCCTATGTCAACGGCCAGATTCTGACGGTGGATGGCGGTGTGCTCAACGTTGTGAGCTCTTAAGTTTGGTGGCGAAGATGTGAGGGAAATGATGAAGTAGTCTGATGAGAAATCATACCAACTGTTAGGCGTCTCAACTTGACTCGTGCATCGGCACTTCCTATTCGGTCGGGTTTCCACAAGGCTGACCGAAGCGGTTTCCCCACATTCCCCGCGACAGCGATAAACCATGCTGATGATGTCTGATTGCGATAGTGAGCGATAGCGAGAGCTGATGTGACGCAAGCAAGTGATGATGATGGGGCGCGTCGTAGGTGACGGAAATGTTATGTGTGGCTTATGCAAGGGGCTAGCGCACGTGGAGGTGATGTCTTTGATGACAATGTGTCTTTGTGACGAAATTTTGCTAAGAAGAACAAAACGTACGGCGCGTCGCGTCGCATTGCTGGCACCTACATGCATACGTGCATACACAATTCTCGGAACCGGAGGCAGCCATGGGGTGCAGCGCGGTGAGTGGATGCTTCCAGGCAGGGCGCATGAAGCGAGGATGCGAGGTTGCAACGGCGCGGCCGCTACTGCGCGCAGGTCGAGTAGCAACAAGACATTCACCGCAGCTCGAGTCGCCGCCGTCTAGCGACTCCCCGTCTGCCTCAATCTCCGCGGCAGCACTGGGCGACGAGTCTTACCACAACGGCAGCCGCTGGCAGGCGAGAGCGACTCTGGGATTCGCTGGGCGTGCTAGAGCGTGTTTCGCGGCCAGGATCCCCGTGTGATAATTGCTTTGCGCTGGTAACGGGCCCCTCCAACGCATTGCCTGGGCTGCGCATGGGCAACAACAACAATTGCGACTTTGCCCGCGACGCTGCCGTCGCTCTGGATCCCCGGGTGCGTGTTGAGGGAGGATATGCACACCGCAGCCCGCCATTCACCGCCGCCGCCGCCCACCTCCGCCAACGCACCTCCGCGCCGCGACAGACGACGCCCCGACGATAGGACGGCATAGCAGCCGGCCCGGGCCTGAGGAAGACGTCAATATGGTCTCACACCCCTCCCGACCGGCGCACCAAGCCTCGAACTCGCGCTCGTCGCAGCCCTCCGCCCCGACCGCCAGCACGCCGGGCCACGCGAAGAAGTCGTCGTCGTCGTCCAATCACAATGGCCAGCCCCGCGAGCGCGACCAGCGGCCGAGCAGAGAGGGCACCGCGCAAAAGGCCGCCCAGGGCGTGGATGGCCTCAAGGACTTCCAGCTGGGCGACTGCCTGGGCAAAGGCGCATTCGGCAGCGTGTACCGCGCCCTCAACTGGGGCACCGGCGAGGCCGTCGCCATCAAGCAGGTCCGCCTGGAGAACCTGGGCACCGCCGACCTCAAGAACATGGAGATGGAGATTGACCTGCTCAAGAACCTGAACCACCCCAACATCGTCAAGTACAACGGCTTCGTGAGGAGCTCCGAGAGTCTGTACATTATCCTGGAGTGAGTGGCCCGAATGAACGTCCAGGGCGTAGCTAACATCGTCAGGTACTGCGAAAACGGATCGTTGCACAGCATCTGCAAGAACTTTGGAAAATTCCCCGAAAACCTCGTCGCGCTGTACATGTCCCAGGTCCTCCACGGCCTCCTCTACCTCCACGAACAGGGTGTCATACATCGGGATATCAAGGGCGCGAACATTCTGACGACCAAGGAGGGCCTCGTCAAGCTGGCAGACTTTGGCGTAGCCACCAAGCAGTCAGGTCTGGACCAGTCGAGCGTTGTCGGCACGCCGTACTGGATGGCTCCCGAGGTCATCGAACTATCCGGCGCTACTACGTCGTCAGACATATGGAGTTTGGGATGCACAGTCATCGAGCTTATCGAGGGGAAGCCGCCCTACCACAAGCTACAGCCCATGCAGGCCCTCTTCAGAATCGTCAACGATGAGCACCCGCCGATACCTGGAAGTGCCTCTCCGGTAAGTGCACCCGCGGTCCCTATATGTCAGATGCTAACCCCTACAGCTGCTGCGTGAGTTCCTCATGGAGTGTTTCCAGAAGAATCCCACGCTCCGCATCTCCGCAAAACGCCTCCTCAAGCACCCATGGATTCTCAGCGCCAAGCGGACTGTCCCTGCAGTACCCACAAAACCTACCGAATATCAGGAAGCAGTCAAGTCCGTGCAGGAATGGAACGAGGCATTAAAGTCGCCCAGCTCCCTGCGCCGAAGCTCGCGTCTTGTGTCGGGCTTGCAGAAAGCCAGTCCTGCTGCTTCATCTCGCAAGAATCCGGCCAATGTTAATCTCAACATCCCGAAGCACAGACCCACCGCTGAGTCGTTCCGCTCCCCGGAGCTAGATCATGACGATAACTGGGATAATGACTTTGCCGAAAGCATATCGCCCCGCGCCCTGCAGATGCCACACCTGAAGCCACAGGACAACTTTGGCGGTCTCTTTTCGAGTGACAAGCTCAAGGCTTTTGCCAGTTTTGAGTCGGTTACAGAGATGGCAGAGTACGATGGCGAGGCTACGGTGAAGAGTCCGATGAACTTGGCGCAGTTCCAGAGCTTCCCGAAAGCGTCGGGCCATAGAGCGGTTGAGAGGTCGAGAGGCGCCAACGGTAGACCTAGAACGTCTGCGTCTTCATCGAACACGTCTTCGAGATCAAATTCGAACGCTTCCACATCAGAGTACGAGGATAGACATGAACCCCAGCCAAGAACGGCATTCCTGCGAGGTACACCAAGGGCTGCACAGCCTCCCAAGCCAAAGACGACAGCGCCAGCGCGGCCAAGTCAGCTCTTTCGCGAGGACACTGTCGAGGATTATTCGGATCTCATGCCAGCTGATGAGGGTGCCTTTGAGCGTAAGCTAGCGTCCATGCAGTACGCAAACTCGCCAGCCGTGCCATCTAGACAAGTAATCGTCACCAATTCCAGCCCGCCATCTGACACTTTCTCCCCACGATTGTTCCATCCCAGCGACCTGAAAGCAGGGCCCAAGTCAACGCGCGATCTCAAGTCTGGTGGCAATGTCCATCAGAGATCGACGAGCTCAACATCGACGCGGAAGCAGCTGCAGCGGACGCAGTCAGAGATTGAGATTCAAAAGTACGCCGAGGATGAAGGTGACGACTTTTCAGATGTCTTTGGTGATATCAAGAGTCAGCTTGCTAACCCTAGCCGAGCCGAGAGTGATAGCGGGAGTGAGCATAGCAGTCTTGCCATGATCACATCGAAGATGGCGAACTCTTTCATCATAGCTGATGAGGATGATCTTGATCCATTCGCCAACCTGGATGAGGGTCTTGACAACATCAACTTGGAGAACAACGTCGCGCGAGACCGGGACGATCGATTGACGAAGATGACGGAGAGTCTTGTGGGCTGTCTGAAGACAAGTCAACCCGACGACGAGCTACTCGACATTGCAGATCAACTACTACAAGTTCTACATGAATCTCCGGATAAGCGATCGATCATACTACGAAGCCACGGCATGCTGCCTATATTGGAGATTCTTGGAACCAGACCGCACAACGAGGTAGTCTTACCTCTTCTGAAAATTATCAACCTGATCATCCTGGAAGACTCTGAGTCACAAGAGAGCCTGTCGTTCTTGGGTGGCATTCCGACTATCTGCTACTTCGCCTCCAAGAAGTTCCCTAGCGACATCCGGAAAGAAGCCGCAGCTTTCGTGCGGCAAATGTACCAAACAAGCACACTGACGCTACAGATGTTCATCGGCTGCGGTGGCATCAATGTGCTAGTTGAGTTTTTGGAAGAGGATATTGACGCTGAACGCGATCTGGTGCTCATCGGTGTCAACGGCGTCTTTGGAGTTTTCGAATTACAAGGACCAACCCCGAAGAATGACTTTTGTCGCATCTTCTCGAGATCGAGCGTACTATACCCCCTCAGCTTGGTGTTGAATCGTATGGTGGAGGAGGATGGTGAGGTTGCACGCCTCATCGTCGGCAGGATCGTACAGATCTTCCTCATCTTCTCGCAAGCTGAGAGTCATGTCAAGGATCTTGTGGCGGATCGGATGATCTTAAAACGTAAGTTATCCTTCGCAGTTCACAAGCCTAAGCAGTTACGGCGTCGTCGCAAACTCAAACATAGCTAACAACGTCCAGGTGTATTAAAAGATCTCCGCAAGATGGCGCCACCGCACCAGATCACGATGCTCAAGTTCATCAAGAACCTCAGCTCGCTCTCCTCCACCCACGAAGCCTTACAAAACTCCAACGCGATCGACATCCTAATCGAACTACTCAAGTCGACTCGACAGAAAGACGCAATGAGCCGCAGTCAACAGCGATCCGCCTCTGACCCAGCTCGACTCCCTCCGTTCCACCGCGAGATCTCGAACCAGATCCTCAATACCATGTACAACTTGTGTCGGCACAATAAGAGCAGGCAGGAAGAGGCTGCATTGTCGGACATTATTCCTCTGCTGAAGGAAGTTGTGCGCGAAGGCGGTCCGCTCAAAGAGTTTGCGCTGCCGGTGCTGCTTGAGATGGTCAACTCGGGCAAGGTGGCACGGAAGATGTTGTGGGATGCAAAGGGTCTGGCGTTCTACGTTTCGCTGTTGGGCGACCGCAATTGGGCGGTAACGGCCCTGGATGCCATCTTTGTGTGGTATGTATTCAATGAATTGATGGCCATGCATCTCATGCTAACTATTACAGGCTCCAGGAAGAAACCGCGCGCGTCGAGCAATACCTCCTCTCCTCGCAATCGAATTTCACCGTCGCCATCATCTCCGCGTACACCTCTGCCGACCTCCCACACTCTACCTTTGAGAACATGCTCGAGCCACTGCAGAAGGTGGTTCGTCTGTCACCACCAATCGCTGCCTCCCTCGCCGTACCCGAGATCTTTGGTCGCACGGAACAAAAGCTGGGACACAAGGATGCCGTGACGCGTCTCAACTTCCTCCGTATCCTGCGGACGATTTGCGATGCGAAGGACGAGGGCTGCTGGCTCATACGTGCATTCGGCTGCTACGAACGCATCAGCTGGCTCATGGAACACGACTCCGCGGTATTGGTACGCCAAATGGCCGAAGAGCTCGTCCGC